CAAATCATGCATCAGTACGGGACGCGCCAATGAGTGGAAGCACCCGTGCTGCATATGTGATGTCAGCCTCAGCACGGGACGCGCCAATGAGTGGAAGCACTCGTGCTGTTGGCGAGTAGAGTTAACCGATCTCAAAAAGAAAGAACAAAACGCCGTACATGTATCAGCACGGGACGCGCCAATGAGTGGAAGCACCCGCGCTGTTGGCGAGTAGAGTTAACCGAATTCAACGCAGCGGTAGGAAATACCACAAATCATGCATCAGTACGGGACGCGCCAATGAGTGGAAGCACCCGTGCTGCATATGTGTTGTCAGCCTCAGCACGGGACGCGCCAACGAGTGGAAGCACTCGTGCTGTTGGCGAGTAGAGTTAACCGATCTCAAAAAGAAAGAACAAAACGCCGTACACGTATCAGCACGGGACGCACCAATGAGTGGAAGCACCCGCGCTGTTGGCGAGTAGAGTTAACCGAATTCAACGCAGCGGTAGGAAATACCACAAATCATGCATCAGTACGGGACGCGCCAATGAGTGGAAGCACCCGTGCTGTATATGTGTTGTCAGCCTCAGCACGGGACGCGCCAACGAGTGGAAGCACTCGTGCTGTTGGCGAGTAGAGTTAACCGATCTCAAAAAGAAAGAACAAAACGCCGTACACGTATTAGCACGGGACGCGCCAATGAGTGGACGCACCCGTGCTGTTGGCGAGTAGAGTTAACCGAATTCAACGCATCGAAAACGAAGTCGTACACGTATCAGTACGGGACGCGCCAATGAGTGGAAGCACCCGTGCTGCATATGTGTTGTCAGTTTCAGCAAGGGACGCGCCAATGAGTGCTGTTGGCGAGTAGAGTTAACCGATCTCAAAAAGAAAGAACAAAAACGCCGTACACGTATCAGTACGGGACGCGCCAATGAGTGGGCGCACCCGTGCTGTTGGGCGAGTAGAATTAACCGATCTCCACGCATCGAAAACGAAGTCATACACGTATCAGTACGGGACGCGCCAATGAGTGGAAGCACCCGTGCTCATATGTGTTGTCAGTTTCAGCAAGGGACGCGCCAATGAGTGGAAGCACCCGCGCTGCGTACAAGTATCATCAGTGCGGGTCGCGCCAATGAGTGGAAGCACCCGTGCTGCATATGTGTTGTCAGTTTCAGCGAGGGACGCGCCAATGAGTGGAAGCACCCGCGCTGTTGGCAAGTGGAGTTCACCGTATCCAACGCATCGAAAAAAAAAAAAAAACACGTATCAGCACGGGACGCGCCAATGAGTGGAAGCACCCGTGCCGATGGCGAACCGGGGTTCACCGAATCCAAGAAAATATATATATATAAAAAAAAAAAAGAGAAACCATCGCTAGTGTTCCAAAGAGAGAAATATTCGGGATTGGTCGACGTCCGGTGACCGTAGCGTCAGCAGCAATAATCACTCCATTCAATCCACAGGCGTCGAGAATGAACTAACGCGAGCTCGCGATATAACAACGCGTCGTTCTGGGCCCGACGAAAACCCACGTCAGATAGTGTCGCCCGAAGATAGGATTTGTAGACCATTCTAACTGCAGATCCAGGCGCGCGATCGACTACGCCCACGATGAAGAGGAAAAGAAGTGTTCCCGCAACGCCGCCCTGACGCTCGCCCGCCGCCTGCCGCCGGTCCGCTGCTTATACGACTCCAACCGCGACCAGATGCCGACACGGGCCTCCACGCGGAGCGGCAGGGCAGCGGCTGGGCAAGCAGGGCGAGGTCGGGCGGCGACACCTTCGACACCACGCACGAGAGGTCTACCGCGCGATCGGTGGCGAGCTCGACGGCTCGCCCCTCGACGCGCAGCGGATCACGTACTCCCGCGAGGCGTCGAGCGGTATCCTCCTCGCGAGCGCCAGGGACAGGCACCCGCGGCGACCCCCCCGCTGATGAGACTGAGCTCGCTTCTCTCCGCGGGCTGGTGGACGGCCTGAGGGAGGAGCTGCAGCGGAAGCGCGATGAGGCTGCCGGTGATCGCCAGCAGCTTCAAGCAACGATCGACGACCTGATCGCCACCCAAGCAGCAGGACCTGGCCTTCCGGGGGGGGGTGCAACTTGTGGGCACAACCGCCCCACCATCGGCCTCTCGGGCCCCCGCTACACCCAGCGCCGAGGCGGCTAAGGCTACGGCAAAGGATAGAGCGCGGATGTGGGGGGACCTCCGCCGGGTAAAAGCGTGGCTCATCCTGGGGCGGCCCCCGGCAGTTTCAAAACTGTCGCAGATGGAGTGGCAATCCTTGCTTCGCAAAGGCGTCCTGGTGACAGAGAAAGTGGCGGCATCGCTCGACACGCTCGTGGTTACTGCTTCGCCTTCAACTCGTCGTCCGGTTGCCATGATCGTAACTGCCCACACATCCACGCCCAGAACCCTTCCCACGCTAGGCGCGGAGCGTCCGAAACTCCGGCAACCGGCGCGCGCGGCGTTGGCCACGGCAACGGGGGAGGGCGCGGAGGAGAGGCGCGCGCCGCTGGCGAGGGCGGCGCGAGACCCAAGGCCGCTGGCTTCTTCACCCACGGGAAAGACAAATAGGGGTGCGGGCTCTCCCGCGTAGCGGGGGGGCCTACCTCGGATGGCAGCGCACCTGCGGCTAAATCGAACGGCAGCACGCCGGTCTACACGAGGTTGGCTCCAGGGCTATCAGCAGGTTCAGGACCTGGGACAGGCAGGACGGGACTTTGTTACCGACGTCTTGGCATGCAGCTCGTCGAGCACTCAGTTGCGTCTTCGTCTAGAAGGACTTACACGTCAGGCTTCAACTCTTGGTGCACGTTTCGCAGGCTGACGGAGAAGCCCAAGTTCCTAGGGCAACGTGCCGGGGACCTTCATGTGTGGGAGTTGATAGACTTCGTAGCCTGGTGTTTCGAGTCTGAGGGTAATCTAGCGAGTACAATATCCGGAAAACTCACGGCTGTACAACATTTTCATAGGCTGGAAGCTTCTGTCGAGCTAGACTTGTCGTCTCCGATGTTGAAATGTGCGCTAAGGGGGATTGCGAGGAACCACGTGGCTGTGGGGACGGTACGCCGTGTGCGCCTGCCTGTGTCTTGGCGTATGCTGCTGGACGGGGAAAGCGCAAGCCAGAACTGGGGGGAAGGGGGCAGAGTGATGTGGCTGTGTCTGTGCTTGTCCTATCTCTTTATCACACGGTCTGATGAGGTGTTCGCGAATGATGCGGGCAGGGTGCATGAGGCACACTGTCTTACGAGGGCGGACGTAGCATTGTTTGCTGGCGAGACGCAATTAGTCTTTAGTCACTATCGTAGAGCAGACCGTGTCGAAATGAGGTTTAGAGGGCACAAGGCCGATCAAGAGCAGAAAGGAAACATACGGGTTCGTACGCGAGACGAAGTCACCGGACCGCAGTCAGGTGTGAGAGCACGCGGTGGCGCGGTGGCTCTTGTGGTGGAGCTGTTATCGTGTCATGCGACGTTCCCTGACTCCGCACCGTTGGCTTCGTACCGTAGTGGAAGAGCAGTGAGAGTAGTGAGGTATACTGCTGCCCTCCGTGCACTCAGAGAAGTGGTAGCGAGGTCGGGGCGTAACCCCCAGGAGTACGCGTTGCACTCGTTGCGAATTGGAGGCGCGACGGCTCTTGCATCGGGCGGAGACATCGCAGAACGAGTGATTCAGAGAGAAGGGAAGTGGAGGTCGGATGCATACAAGCCGTACGCGCGAAACAATGTAGAGGATTCGCGGCGAGTGTCACGGAAACTTACAGACGGCAGTAGGATCGTATCGAGACAGCCGGGGGAGGGGACCGTCTGGGGGAACGGATAGTTGACTTATTCGGTAGTCGTCCAGAAACTGACCTCGATGTGGGTGTTGTAGAATGGTGTGTACCATTTGAGGACTTGGTCAGTTTTGGGACTCCTGCGTTTGCAGTCGTAGTCCCCCGGCTAGTATTTGTGGGGAGAGAGATGGATTTGTAAGAGTTGACGCCGGCCTTTGCAGCTAACGCGGCCGGAGAGACGATGAGCGTTTCGTGCGTCTCTCTCCCCAACACGTAGCCTAGAAACCGAAGAAATAATGAAGCAATTCGAAAGAAAACAAAATAAAAGGAAGGTTTGTTCGTCGAAGCAGATAGAATAAACTGGTGTTTATTTTGTAACAGTCGAATTAGAATTTGGCTTCATTTTCTACCGGAAACCCAGGGTCACGGTGTTTGGAATTATTAGTCTATAGTTGGGGGTGTCATTCCGTGATCGAGTCCACGCAGGGGCTGTAGCAAAGTCGGGTAACGTGTGACAGCTACAGAGCGCGTGAAGCAACGGAAGGACAGCAGCAGCCGCCTAACGCAGTAGCGGCGGCAGTTTAGAAAATCCCGCCCTCCCATCCCTTTTCTTTCGAAGGTGGGGGCATAAGTTCGGGAATATTCGGTATCTAGTCAGGTGTTGTAGAATGGTGTGTACCATTTGAGGACTTGGTCAGTTTTGGGACTCCTGCGTTTGCAGTCGTAGTCCCCCGGCTAGTATTTGTGGGGAGAGAGATGGATTTGTAAGAGTTGACGCCGGCCTTTGCAGCTAACGCGGCCGGAGAGACGATGAGCGTTTCGTGCGTCTCTCTCCCCAACACGTAGCCTAGAAACCGAAGAAATAATGAAGCAATTCGAAAGAAAACAAAATAAATTGGATCCTTTTTTCGGGAGGATACATTCCATCACGCTGGAGACTAGCATGCAATCGAAGCCCCATGGTACAGTCTTTGCAGTCTCCTGCATGCAGGGAGAGCCCCACTTCTAGTATGCATATGCGCTAACCCGATTCCACCCAAGATACCGATGCATACAACGGGACAGACGGATCAATTCCACCGCACATTGCCAGCTGTTCAGCAGGGGGCCCACTAAGAACGACCTTTGCGCATTGCTGTCCCGTAAGGGTCTGTCTGTGGCCTACAGACATTGGCCCTAAGGGTGCTAGCACCCCTTAAGGAATTTTCAAAGGGGCACATGTTCCCACCATCTCACCTCGCTCAGAACCAGCCCGGTGCTCTTGCTTTGCATGCAGCCCATATCTTAGAGGGGCTGCTCCGGCGGCGAACTCCACGACTCCAATCTCCTAAAGTTATCCGCCGTGTGCATACGGGGATTGCTACGATCACCTCTTGCGCACAAACTCTAGGCGAGGAGCGAGGATTATCTGTGATGAGGTTATATCTGGAAACAACCCACAACATGGGAAAGAACTTCCGTGAGTTCAACATGGCGCTCTCGGCGCGACCGCTTACAGCGTCCCCGGACCCTCGCCACACGCGTTACGTCAAAACCCCGGATGGTGTAATTGCGCCGCGTTTGGAAATATAGGCCTGGGTCGGAGGCACACCCGCAACGTTATGGGAGTCAGTGGGTGCTCGAATGGCGCCTTCTCTGTGGCTGCTACTGCTATCCAGGCGTTTCTAGTGGTGGCCCTTGGTGGATGCGAGGCCTTTACGCTGCTGTGAGTTTATGCACATGTACAATAAAGCGTTGTTGGATTTGGCGGAGGATACCACCCCTCCCTTCAATCCTTTTCTTCCCCTCTGCTGGAACGTTCAAGTTTACAACGTGTAGTGCATGTAGTTGTATGGTCGGGAACATTCTAGAAAGTATCACTCAGTATTCGATAGTGAGCTGTGCCCTGGATAATCCCCTGATGGCTTTCTGAGCATTTGATACGGCTATTTGGGGGGGCATCTCTATTCATATGCACAGCCAAACGGAGGACACCAAGTCTCTTGCGTTCAAGCTCCCTTTACAATTGTAGTCCACCCCCCCCCCTGCCGCATGTGCACTGACAGCAGCATGATTGTTCCGTATCTTTCTCTGTAATGTACATGTAGTTCATCGCTATACCAGAAAATATACGGAAGGTATCGCGTCCTTCCTATATTGCCTAAATCTACTACATACAGGGGGCCCGATATAAGGCGGTGTAGTGCGTGGTGAAGGAAACCGCCTTATATCGGGCAGCCGCCTTATACGTGTATAAGGCGGTTACCGCCTTATACACGGTCTGAGATTGGCCCAATAGGGCGGTGACCGCCTTATTTAAGACAAATGAAGAAAGGAGGTTTCAGCGTATTGGGCATCACCTCACGGCGCGTCGCTGAGTGGAAGAAATTGTCACGCGTCATGCATTCACGCGTGTAGAACGAGCAAGATGGCTTGCAATTGTTTGAGTGTTGTTTGCAGCGGTATGTACGTCTACATCTGATGCCGTACGACCCCGCTGGGAGTGTACAGCAGAACGTACATCTGCATCCAACAATACTGCCGCACAAGGCTCTGGTAGAGTAGACGAATAACGTCGACGAATAACGTGTCCAAACCAACACTTCTCTTCGGTCTGATGCGAGGGACACCGAATATTTTTCCTTCGTGAAGAACAAAACTTAAGCTAGCCAACATGGACGCACGCAATAGTTGGAAAGCAATCGTGGCACCGAAAAACATTTGTATTCGCTGCGTCCATGACGCTTGGCCGGGTTAAGCACTACTTGCCCCGGCGCTTGTACCTCTGAAAATGCGACCACTCTTCGCAGCACACCCTGCTCTATGATGTGTCCGCGCTCGTTCGCATCGAATTCCTCCGCGTAAAACAATACGGTTTCGTGCGGCCGAACACAAAAAGTGTGTGCGCGCCTACAGTAGGGTTGTATTCCGTTAAGCCAGGGCGTTGTGTTGACCACTCCTTCAGGTGTCTTGGGCCACAAAGGTACAGGTGTTTCAGAGAGGGGCGTAGTGATGCGAAGATGATCACCGCCTTATATCGGATTTTATTTGGGTAGTTACCGCCTTATACAGGGAGATTGCCTATATAAGGCGGTGCCGCCTTATATCGGGTCTGAGTTATGTGCGCCAATTTCAGCCGCCTTATATCGGACAACCGCCTTATTCACACCCCCTTATATCGGGCCCCCTACTTGTACTTCGTACACTGCTGTCGACATACCATGACAGGTACTGCTGTATGTAAAACGTACAGAAGTAAGTATGAACGATCCGGGAGAAAACGGAAGCATTTTGCTGCGGCATTTTGCTACGGTGCGTTCGTTTTTTAACACGATCAGTGTTCAGCAGCTCCTCTAATCCACCGTTCTCACGAACAAGCTGACAAGCAGGTGCTCGTACTCGGTGCAGTGCGGAAACAATGACACCTCGTCGAGAATCGAATTCTCGAAGGGTGTCAAATGTATCGACGAGGCAGCTGGAACGACTGGCTTACCCCGCCACAAGTGCAGCGGGCATGTTCGTGACTGCACATGAGGGAAGAAACTGCTGGTGCCTTGTCGCGTAAGAAATGAAGGCCGTGCCCCCAGAGCAATGAGTCTGCGTACTCGAAAAAAAAATCGAGTTTTTTCAGTGTAGTAAGAAGACTGCTCAATTGAAACAAAATGCAAGATGGAATGACGACAATATCAACAAGGGTTATACAATGCTATCACGAACCTATCGTGTCCGGACGTAACGAATGAAAAATATCAGACGCGCTGAGAGGTGGGGGCTTCAAAAACCATGGCGATATCGACCAGCAGCAATTCCACTTGTCGCGACCGTCTCCCGACTTCAGCTCCCGTTATGGCCCCTCTCCCGTTCGCAGTAGCCTTCCTGGGGTTTCGAGCGTGCCACCATCCCTGGTATCGGCACCCGGATCAGCATCATCGTCATCGCCGCAGCTACAGGCCTCTACAATCATGGGCGTGCGGAAAGAAATGCCTCTCGACCACAGCAGAACAACGATTGTTTTCGCTCTCAGAAATGGGGATCGATCGAGGAGAGCCAAACTAAACAAGACAATGTTCGTGCTGAAGGGGACGAGACTGGGGGCAAACGCAGCGGCCGCGGGGGGGTCAACAGAGAAGGCGGGATCATCAAAGCTCGGTAAAGGGGGACAAAAGGCGCGGGTGACCGTACGGCGGGCTAGAGAGCCGGACTATCAAGGAGTCGCGGAGATACGCGGGGTAATCATCCCCGTCGGGATGAGCGGGGCGACTGGGTTTTTGGGCGGCAAAGTAGTCATTGACGATCCGGCGGAAGCCGAAAGGAGGCTTCTCATGGCAAAGGTGCGTTTGAACACGCTGGAGGAAACTGTCTGCATGACACCTCAACGAGACGGGCGGTCAGTCTGCTGGTTAACTTGCTCAACTGGCTTGGTTTCACCCACTTCGGCCCCGTCAGCCAAGGTGGCCGCAGTCAACACCCGCCCACTCGAACACTCAAGCTTTTTCTCCCTCTCGTTGACGGTCGCTGATCTATGGTCTTGTTAAGGTCGCAGATCTAGTGAGTGGGGAATCCGTGGCGCTCATCGCCCTGGAGGGCCAACGCATTGTAGGCACCGTGGACTGCATCATCCGATCGGCTGCGGCTACCGTGGATACGTTGGGACAACCCAAACAGCAGCCGGAGATTCCCAAGGTAGGAGCTGTTGGCATGCGCAGATGAGAACTAACGTTCACTAGCCCGGGCGTCATCACTCTGTTGTGCGCCAGGCTTCATATGTCTAGCGACTTTAACGTTTAAGCTCTTTTTTCGTCAGCTCCTGGTGAGCTCTTTTCTCACCCAAGTTTTTGCTCCAACCGTTGCCTGTTTGGGTGCTGGCTTATTTCTTGCCAACGGCGGGGCGGTGTTTCAACCCTAAAGCAGGCCAATGAAGTGTTCCTGAAGAACCTGTTCGTGCTTCCCGAACGAAGAAGACAAGGGATCGCTAGGGAGCTCGTGAACGGAGCAGAGGTGTTCGCGAGACAAGAAAAAGCACGGACGGTTTGTCTGGACGTTGCCCGACAAAACGATGCTGCTCGGGAGTTGTACTTGAGCTGTGGCTTCGAGGAGGCTGAACGACCTGGGCCTATCGAGGGGGGCATGGGAGGCGCGCTTCTTAGATCGCTCGGAATGGGGAAGAAGTATATGGTCAAGGGCGTCTGACGTCGTGTTGTTGTCGTAGTGCCTGCGATCAGTGGGTGGACACCGAGAGTAATCGGCCGAGTAGGTTGAAGAATGTGCGCGTTCGATCGGCGTTTTGTTGTCCCGATGCGTGGGAAGAGGTTTGTACGTCGCCAAGCGTATCTGACTGGACGTGTGCGTCTTACGAACACTCCTTTTCGGCACGGATTCAGCCATCTTCCGTAACGTGAGCGATACGAAGGCCTTACGTTGAGAGGCCCATGTCACATATGGTCATGCCCTCCATATCATCGCCAACACAACTGTAGAGGCGAAATTGGTGGATTTTCATGCTTCATGTACATGGCGTTTTTTGTACGTTCGTTGAGCCACACTGATACATGGAGGGCATGACCGACACGTGAACGGGTCTCTCGGTGTAATGGCCTGAGGCGCTTGTTGGCGTCGAAGAGTTCCATCAACTGCTGCGTATTGCTGAGTAAAGGTTCAAAGCTGGTGGACCTCCACTTTTAACGTACTAAAACCCGTCAAACTCCAATGCAACGCATCACCACACACACGGGAACTGGACGCCGAACAAATCGGACCTCAAAGGTAATGAAATTAGTGTTGCCTTGCTCGTTTCACGCAAGAAAATAGCTGGACGAGACGGTGAAAGATGTGTGGCACCTGCGGCAACACGTCTTGACCTGCTGCCGGCTGCCTACAATCCGGCGTCTGCACACCGTAGCAAGCACAGGTGGGTTGTAAAACTGCTTGGTTTCCGCAAGATTCGCTTTCTTGGTGACCCTGGCGGTACGGAGCACGTCACATGCTCTGTACAAGTACACATATAGACTATATGCGTTCGATTTCTCGTCGATACCATTTTGTCCGGAGCATGTGTTCAAAGAAGTACTACTGTATGTTGGAACCCCACACAGAGAGTACGGGTGCGTAGCGCGGGCCAGCGACACACTGTAGCCCCCTGCTCTTTCAGCCGACAAGATTATGCATATGTGCTTCAATACGAACCATCGCGACACGAAAAAATCAGGGGGCAAGCCCAGGGAGAGGTATCAAAGGTCAACAATCAAGTATTCTGGGGGCATGCGTCGAAAAGAGAAACACGTGTGGCACCATACTCCACAAAGTACAAGCTACATTCCTCATGGGCACAGAAGGTCGTGGGAAAGACTGGCGGACATGATGTGAGTCAGTGTGCGTGCTAGAAGTTCCCCCGACCCCAGCACAGCCCCCCCCCAGTGTATGCGAAAAAAGTATCTGAAGGAGGGGGGTTATCGCATTCTGCGTGCCCCCCTAACAGTCCCGCCAAGGAACGCAACGGGCACGGGCAACGGCGCAGCAGCACACACTCGCTAGACCCCAAGAATGGCATGACACGAAGAGAGCGGCAGACGGACGACCCCATTTCTCCTCTACATTACTCCACGCCTCGCGTAGTGCTTCACATCGATCTTGACGCGTTCTTCGTACAGGTGGAACGAAGCCTGAACCCTACCCTGGTCGGTGAGCTTCTTCTCCGTGCCAATTCAAATTCGTCGAGTCTAACCGCCGATGCAACGTATGCTGCGCTCTTCGTACGTCCTTCGGCGTTTGAAATCTTGAAACGTGACTGAGTTCGTCGCTCGATAATCTCGATACTCGATACATTTTCGTAACAAGCTGCGCGAGAGTTTTGTTCTACCTTCATGGATCAAGATAAGAAGCTTTGCCGCATTCTCACAACTGCTGTGCGGATTCGCGTCTCGAGACTCCTGTACATGTACGTAGTCTACAGCATAGATCTACAGCAGTATTCTACGTGTACTATTTTTCTCCCGATGAGAGTGTGTGGGGGCCAATTGCCAAGTTGTGCAGGGGCAGACTCTGCTCAATCCGTTCGTCAGTCATTCATTGTGTCAGGCTCACCGCTGCCCCACCGGTGCCTATTCCGTTCAGGTAAGCCGATAGTCGTCCAGCAGCACGCCGACATTATCGCTGTGAGCTATGAGGCTAGGGCGCTGGGCGTAATGAAGCACATGCCGACCGCAACGATCCGAAGGGAGCACCCATCTGTCAAGCTTGTGCACGTGGAGGTATTGTTAGACATCGCTATTTTTCAAGTGGTTTAGACGGCCCGTTTGACGCACCACCCTTAGCACGAGAAGCATTTTGCGCGTCTGATATGACAGCACTTCTTTGCAGCACTGTGGTTTTACCCTGCACTGTTGTTTGTTTGTCCGTCCGCTCAAACAGACGATTGGCCTTCAGAAGGACAAAGTGTCCTACAGGAACTACCGGGCTGCAGCACGCGCCATCTTCACGCTTATTCGAGCCTTCTGTCCACCCGAAGGTACATGTAGGTGCAAAGCGTCGGCAAATAGTATAGTACGCGCGTATTTAGTCAAGCTGTTCCAGCGTCCGACACTGTCTGTGAAGATACCACCCCCGTGCATAGTTGCGGCCTCATTTGACAATTCTTGTTTTCTTTTTCATTTGTTTCATCTATGCTGCAACCGTTTGTGTGGGTATGCGGTATCGATTTTGGCGAATCTCGAGTAGCGGGTTCGATATGATTGGCCATGCTAGCGACACACCACCAGAGACGGTTTGTCGCCAATTCAAGCCATGGAAACCAATGCACCCATGGAACCCAAAGCACCCATGGCAACGGATGGTTGGACCCACGCTTAGTATCCCCCCGGCGTAGTTTTCTCGCTGTCCCATGGACCACCAAACCACACTCTGTTTGATTGCTGTGAAATATTCGTTTTGCTTGTCACGCGATCGAAAGATGACGTTTATGGCCGCAATGCCCCGAGCGCTAGAGGCGCAGGAGCTTTACAGAGATCATGTGGGGGCAGAGTTCACGCCTGTGGCGGAGGGAGGTTTCAGAAGGCCAGCGTCGACGAAGCGTACTTGGAGCCCGCGCGACGGACTCTGACCGCGGAGCTCCTCTCCTCCGAGCAACACCAAGGCGGACCCGCCGCGATAGGGCAAAGGCGTCCTACCGCCGCCACTGAAACATCAGCAGGGGCGGCAGAGCGCCTACTAGCGGGGATCAAACGGCCTCGCGCCGGCGGCAACAGCGCATTTGTAGCTGGACACGGTGATTGTAGTAGCTTGGCTCCGGCCTGCTCTAAGCAAAGAAGAGGGTTGGGCGAGAGTCACTATGGGCACGCCGAAGGAGATAGACACGAGTGGGATGTGACCGTCGGGTATGGATCTTCTTTTGACGACGATGAACAGTCGGACGAGTGGGGGAGAAAACGGCGAAGAGAACACGAAGATGTGAGGGACGTGGGTGAAGACGAGGATCGACTCCTCGAGGCGGGCGGCTTGCTGGGGAAGCGAATACAGAAAACACTGCGAGACGTGTTGAACTACGACTGCAGCGTTGGCGTAGCGAGCAACAAGGTGAGAACCCTGCAAAGCATGTGACTTGGCTTGCCGACTGGGAGGGTTGCGCGTTCTTGGCCGCATTGGCGCGATTGTGTGATGTTCTGCGTCTCCTGGATCATTTTTGACAGGTCGCGCCTCGGACGTGGCTGGAACTAAAGGTGGCTTTGGTTGTGTGTGCACATGAACAATAGGCCGTCCTTTGACGGCTGTTCAGCTCTCCATTCGTGCACCAACGTCGATAAGTGTTGCTTAGTAGTTGTACATCTCTTTTGACTGCTGCTGTCGCCTGACCCACATTGGTGGCGTCACGCTCGCATCTGTTTGATTTTGTTCGATATTGGCTCGATCGTTCCCGTCGTTGGCAGTTTCTAGCCAAGCTGGCGACAAGCCTCGCCAAGCCGAAAGGTGTGCGCGTGCTTCTGCGGCGAGACGTGCCCTCCCTTCTCGCTTCCACGCCTGCCACCAAGATCCCTGGGTGTGGCACGGGCAGCGCGGCCGCTAGGCAATTTTTGGGGTGGGGAGTGAAGTCGGTTTTCGATTTGCGACAAATCGAGGCTGCGGAGCTGCGCAAGCGCTTGGGAGAGCAGCTAGGCGCTAAGGTCAGCTCACGGTCTTGGGTGTACCCGCACGCATATCGTAAGGAAGTAAGTTTGTGTCCCAAGTCATGCAACGTATCGATGACCCCGACGTCTGCGGCCTTGGTGAAGGGCTTGTCGATACCCTTTCGCCCAATTTGATTTGCATGTGTATTACGTGAGGTGCATGTGGGTTTGGAGAGGATTTGGTTATTGGCGTGCATGTCCGTGTGTATCAGGCCAGGAGATGTGTCATGTCGTTCGATCCATCTTGGCGGTCAGAAAGATCGGAGCAGTGCAAAGCGCGTATTGGTTTCATGTTGGCCTTTGTGCGGCTTCGTTCCCAACAGGGTGAGGCATCTCCTTGACTTTTTGTTTATGGTCGGAAACACTACTTTCGTGGACCGATACGGTTGCAGGTGTTCGACCGGTGTCGGGGCATCGACAACGACCCGGTTGAGCCCGACCCGATACCGAGCAGGGTTTCGTCGCAGCTGTCCCTTGTCCCGCTCATTACCCCGGCCCGCTGCCTCGGAAGACCCGGTGAGGTGAGGTTATCTATTGATATTTGTACGAGTGTTCTCCCCACCGATATCAAGGCCGATATCAAGGTTCCTGGTGTCATGCCTGTCCCCTACGAATGACACGATGCCGTGGAACGTTTTTTACGTGGTTGAGGTGCAGGGTGTCTTTTTGTTGAGCTGATTTGTGTTAAAACGTTGAACAGAGTCATGGATGGAATTTCGTGCATTGCATGTAAATGCTTTTGGTTTTTCTTTTTCTCAGGCCCCTTGTCTCCGTGCTTCTAGGACACTCAACGGCGCCCTTTTTAACCCTAGGGCCATGAACGATCGTAAGTGTTGTCGTCGTGTACTATTGGGTGAACGGGAAGACCGCCTCTTACACGACCGCCCGTTTGCTTGCCGTGGGATTACTCGCAGAAATTGACCCCCGTGTTTCCGTGGGAGGTGAAGCGTGTGGAACCGTTCCTTGTGACGTTGGTGGACGACCTCATGGACCGCATGAAGGTACAATGTCTGCCGGAACTTGGTGCTGCACTCTTACCGTGTTTCCATCATGCGCATAGCATGTGTTTATCGATGGGGTGCTCTGCGGAACGCCGATCTTGAACTTCCACCCCGATCGTACTGACTTAGGGTGCTGTTTTGTCCGCCCAGGAGGTTTCGTCCTTGTATTGTTTTCAACAGCTTCCAGTTGACATTGGTTGCACATGACAAAGCCGCCAAGCTAGCGATCGCCTATATAACGCACAAATGTATTTCTTTCCAAACACGCACTATTCTGCAATTGCATCTTTCGGCGACCCCATCATCGACAAACACGGCACACGGCGGTCTGCATCATAATTTGTGCTCTTGATGAAACGCCGTGCGAGTCTTTTTTTTCTTTCTACGAAAAACCAGGCGAGAGCTGGTCGAACGGTCAGCGTGTGGAATTGTTTGCCTTACGCTTCTCGAAAATCGCAACATTGTTTTCCTTGGAAGGATACTACATATTGACCTTATTTGTTTGAAGTATACCCTCCGTTGACGAGCTCCGCCTGGGGGGATGGCCTTTCAAAACTGTTTTCGTGTTGCAACACGTTGTGCCTTGTTTTTTTTATCCTTGACGCGTATGAACTCTTCGCCCCGCACGGACGGCAATGTCTCCAAACTATCCCTGTCATGCTGTTGGTTCATCACTAGGGTTCGCATGGGCATTCAATAGCTGTTCGGATGTCTGACCCGTTCACCTCCTCCTACAACTCCATCCAGGAAGAGCTGGAGGAGAGAAATCGGAGGCCGACAAAGCTATGTATCGAGCACCACCTTCACCATCGCGGCTCCAAAAGCCAGACGTTCGCCTTGCGTCCCCGACCTGCTCCGCGTGGTCGCACTCGCTACACAACCCCCACAAGCCCTGCTGCGGGAGTTGTAGACGAACGACAGGAATGTCAAAACGTGGCTGCACCAGAACCCACCGGAGAAACCGAAGGCGCTGAAAGTCCTGGCGATCTTGGACTTCCTTCAGCGCAATCGTTAGTCGAGCTCGCACTCACGCCATTCAAGAATTACCAGAATAGCAGGACAACCGCGTCCGGTGGGGGAGCACCAACAGGGAATGGAGCGCAGAGAGGAGCTGCAACAGGAGAGAATGGAGGGAAACGAGCAGGGGCAGGAGGAGGAGACAATTGCCCATGTGACACGCTTCCGCCCGTTGTGAAGCTGAACATCTCGTTGCTCGGTTTCGAGAACGTGGGTCGGACGCTGCCAACAGCGGCTCCGCCTGGGCAGCGTACACTCCAAGATATGATGTGGCTGGAGAAACCCGCGGCGCAAACTGATGTCGGTGCTGGAATGGAAGGCCGGCGACGGGATGGCAACAACCTGAACACACCAGCACCTCCACCCAGAAAAAACAACCTTCCGCGGAAATTGGCGGTAGCAGACACTGTCGAACCTTCCCCGGTGGCGCAGACGGTGGCTGTTAGATCAGTGAACAGTTCTGGGGTGATTGATTCCAAAGCTGCGAATACGATGGCAACAGCAGACGATGGGGATTCCCCGCCAACGGTCGCGGACCAGGGCAGCGTTCTGGTGCGTTGCCCGAGGTGCAAGGCATGCTTGCCGGTGGGAGAAGCGTGGGACACACACCGCGAGGTGCATCTGGCGGTGTCACCCCTTGCTGATGATGGAAATGATGTATCCCGAACAAGCGGACAGTCCTCCCGGCCGCATCAATCAGATGTCCCGGGGTCTGTTCACCCGCGGGACCGATCGTTCGTGACGACGGATGCAGTAGTGGAACCATCTGTCGGCAACGAAGGACACGCTGGAGGAGGCGTTGGTATTGAAGATAACGATTTCCGATCAGGCTCGGCGTTCGAAGTGCCGGTACGGGGGGGCGCTGGTAGCGAAAAAGATGGTGGGGACGGCCTGTGGCGCAGCAGGAAGCTTTCAGACCTCCTGATGCTGGCGGTCTCGCCTGAGCAGGCGGCGCATGTACTCAAGAAGCGCGGCCTTCTGCGAGACGATGGGCAGACTCGCTTTGCAAGCCTCGATCTTTGAGGCAAGCAACAACAAGCAATGGTGTACGGTTGGATGGATTTCCGTCAAAAGTTCGCACACGTGCGTTTCCAAGAATTGAGTAGAAAATCGAACTGGGCGATGTGTACGGTTTGCCATCGGTGTTGGGTTGTGCTATATGGACGGTGTGGCGCCTTCACCGCTGTGGGCGACGAAGTTGATGGGTATCCTCCTACTTACAGTAGCACCCTATTTTATTGTATATAGTCTCGAAGGCGTTGTGGATAGTAGTCCGTATGCCTTGGCGCAGGTGCTTTCATCAGTGGTTTTCACACTCTGTTTTGTGCGTGTTGTGTGGCAGAAGAGTACATTTTGTAACAATGGCGTGTGTTAGGTTGTGCAGTGGACGCCAAGGGCATTGCGGTTCGGCCACCTTGACCCGGAAACGATACCGCCCAGCAATCATGGCTCAAAACGCTTCAAGGTTTGCTGAGATATGGTAAAGCAATATTTAGATCGATGATAAAAATGAGAGTGCATATGGCACCACAACCGAGGCATACGAGCGGGTGGAAAGTGGAGACTATCGTTCCACATTACCATGAGTTGAATGACATGTCTCGCCTCCTCTCGGGATTGGATCCGCCAGTATCGACGTACAGTTTCACATAATTTGTCAGTTGGCCAAAGAATCCTCGCCAAACAACAAATACCCGTTCTTCACGGAAACAATCTCTTATCGTAATTTCTTGGGTAAGGTGCACCTACGCCTTCGTGTTCCAGGAAAAACCCCCACATCTCTTTCACAAAAACTGCTGCCCACGGCAGACAATTCCATTATTCTCGTCTATTGGCACTTCAAAACACCCCCCCCGAACAATTACAAGCAAACATGTAGGTCATCGTACTTCTACTGGACAAGTAGCACAACTCTCACACAAGCTCCTAAGCTAAGAAGATGCCCACCAGCGGTTGGCATATAGAAGATGACGATCGGCTGTAAAGCCTGCGCTTCGTTCTGCCAGCTTCCCCCTCCAACCGTTCACCACGAGGTTTAACTACGACACAAGGTGGTTCCACAACCAACGCACACACAAGTCGGCGGCATCATGTCTTGAAATCTCCGCGTGGTCACCGCCTGCGCTTCGCGCGTTCGGCGTCCTCCGCATCCTCTGTCTGCTTCAATTCCACCTTCAGGTTCAAATGTGCGAGTTGCGGGAGGCGGTCCACGGTTAACGATGAGTGTTTTCTTCCTGGTACCGTTCTGTGGGGAGTTATTTTTCCTCGGTCTCTCGGTTTCCCCCCTAAGCAACCACCCAAGACGGTGTCGAGGTTGCTGCCGCCAGAAGTAGAAATCAGCTCCAAGTTGTGGTTGTTTCACCCACCTTTCTCCTTGCGGTGGCTAACCACTTGGAGGCTCGGCCCTGCCACTCGGTCTCGGTCCCTTTGATCTTCTGCCTGGTCTCCTTGTTGATGCGGATGATATTGTTGCTAGCAAGCACCTTGCGGTCGACCACGGTCTGCTCTGTGAGGGCCTCTCGTTGCTCGAACTGGGACCGCATACCGGCCTCCTCTTCGGACCACTTCTTCTCTCGTGCCTATAAATCAGGAAACGTACAGGAGTTCCGTCAAACCTCTCGGTGAGCCACTTTCACGTGGACAAAACCGCATATGGTGGTTTGGGGATGGTGCCTGTCGGGGCGATTGTGACGTCGATAGTCCACTTCGGAAGCCGTGCAAAGCGAGAAAGAAGTTTCAAGGTTTTGAGCACAACAAATCGTTCAGCGATCTCTGACCTCCTCTGCCGCTCATGTCATCTGGTACTGTTCCGTGTTTTGGGCAATACTGGTAGCACGGTAATCCAGTGATTGAACGTGACAATCAGGCGATACCGCACGGTCTTAGCCTCAAAATGATTCGCGATGCCTACTTTACAACTTCCTGCACCTACTTGAGCGTGGAGCATGCAGCTTGTCAAAGGCCAAAATCGGGAAGTGGCCTACATACACACTACAGTACCTGTTGTTCCTTGCGCACGACGTCGTCCATGTCTTCTAGCTGTTTGCGGTGAGCCTCCGCGACGGCCGAGGGTACTCCTCCTTCGTCCTCTTTCAGCCTGGGAAATAGACGAAAACGTATATGGAACGTACAGTGACGTGACATTTCTTGGATGCAGACTAAAACGATCGAGAGGGCAAACACCTTACCAGCCGTTGATTCCCGTGTGGGTACCTTTCGATTCCCCGCGGAGGAATAGGCTCAACTACGTTCTACAACCTTCGAGAGAAAGCGCATTACATCCACGAGCTCAGTCGTTTTAAACACCATTCCAAGTTTTTCGCATCTGGCCTGTTTCACTCGAAACATGCTTAGCATCTGTTCAAGATTCAACGCTATACGAAGGAGAGCAGTGAATACCTCGTCTCCACAACGTCTTGCTCTTGCTGCTTCACGTCCCGAAGTCGGAGAAGCTCCCGAGTCCTCAGCTCCACTTCGGTGTTGACTGCGTCCGACTCCACGTTGATCTTGTGCTCGAAAGCCTTGCGATCTTTTTCCATATCGGCCCGAGTCGTTTTCTAGAAATATTTCCATACGCCACGATTGCTCATTAGGGTTGTGGAGGCACATCGTTATGGTCGACAAGGAGACACCCTATGGTCCCTCCTCAATCCTGCATGCCGTTCGTGATCCGTGTCCCTCGGATGTACTCTTTCACATGTTATCTTCATCACTAGCCTACAACCTGTCAAAGACGCGAACTACACTGGACGGTGTTGCTAGCCAACGAATGGCGTCCAATGAACAGCCCCCCGCTCACCTCGAAGTGCTCGAAGTCCACCTCTATCTTGCGGATCTTAACCGCCCCTTCCGCCTCCAGGGCCCTCCGGTCGTCCTCGATCGACTGACCTACGTCCATCAGCGCCTGCCAAAATACACGGAGGTCGTCAAGTCGGTGTATTCCCCCGGCGTCACCTTCGATTTACAGGATTGAAATGATCCTACTTGCGACGGTCAGTCATTGGGCCGGGTTTCGCCTGGACCTTTAGGGGCAACGTGTGATTTTCGATCTGAACCGAGAGGACAGGCATGCGCTGTTCGGGTTTGACAGCTACATAGCATGCATGCGTCGCTCCTCAAGGAGTCCAAGAAATATTTGCCCCTGTCGTGTTTCGGCTCGCGTGTGACGGCGAATATGCCACAGGTGACTAGGAACATCTCGCATCGGTCTCCAAATGAAGAACACGCCGTTGTCCTCGGACCTGTCCCTCCAGCCGTAGCTCTGCTCCGAAGAACCAATCGTCCTCTGGCGGCATCAAGGCGGCCGTCGAGTGCACGTCTTCACGTAGCTTCTCTCCTCGGGCACGGAATTTACCTGAGAGTGACAAATTTTGTAGGCCGAGACCACCGCGAACACGGCGACGACGGTACGAGGAAAACGTGCTTGATTGTGCGAAGAATTGTTCTGATGAGCGAAGGTATGCACCGAAGGAGAAGGAGACTCCAGTTGTCAGTTCTTACAACAATAGACGATGGTTGAAGTCAGGGAGCTACGACATTCAATTGTTGCACAGGAGCACGCCGTCCGTGCCCTCTTGAACTGTGCACCCTTTGCGGATAGAATCAGAGTGTACCAAGTTCGTGAACGGGAGCGAAGGGCCAACATAATGCTAACTGAGTTTGAATACATACAGTACCAAGGGCACTTACCGTCCAATCCTTCTCGAGCCGCTCGCAGCCATCGGACAGCCAGCGCCCTGGAAGCCGCGTTGAGTTCGACTATCCAGTCCTTGGTACGCGGGTCTTCCTCTTTCGTACCTGCGATGTCCTGCTTGCCGCCTTGCAGCTTTCGCTTTCGCATGCGCTCAACGTATCTGTCATACGAGAACAGAGAGGACGAAATACGCACTTGTGAGTGTAAATCCACCGCAACGGTTCTTATGACCTCTGCTCCCGACTCCTTGAAACAAGGGTTGATCTCGGACAGCAAACATCGAGTGAACAACGCCTACAGGTGATGTACACCCATCTCTCTGTTGCGACGCTAATATTACATGTACAACAAGGAGCACCCCTACCCGTCCATCTCAGATGCTGCGCTATAAGCCTTACCTGAAAATAAATGTAACCATCAAGCATGCATCAAGAGGGACTTGTGTTGACCTGATGAGGTCAGCGCTCCCCCACTCTGCCACTACACTATTGTACAGTCCGAAGCATGTTGGAAAACTCCCCACAAAGATACCTAAATGCTTGGCCTTGCCAGCTCTCACGTTGCGCGAAGAAACCACAGCGATATTTCTAGTACTACAGTATATCCGCTACAGTAACAAAAATAATGAACCACTCGTTTGATCAAACGCGTCACCTCTCCATTTGCGCCTTAGCTTCAGGCTTCGGGAACAGGTGCACGCCGCCCAGCTTCGTGCGTGCCGCATTGAGCCACTTCGACATCATTCTGCCCTCGGGGCTAGTTCTTGTCACGACTACGGCATCAAATACCGCCTCGTCCTATCAATCACAGTCGTTAGGCGTTTAAAAGAAGGAGAAGGGTGGAAATTGGCGACCATTCTCATGTTAGTTCAAAATATTGTTTGAGGGTAGACACGACGTGCAGTACCACGCTGGCCACTTTTGGCCTCGCGCTTCACACAACTACTATTTGCTGCGTGGGTGTACCCTTGGTGGGGCGGGGGAAGGCGACAAGCACAACTCAGGGAGGAAAAGGTTCAATGTCATGCCTGACCAGTTGGAAGCTTCGTGTCACGCGCAGCGCGACCAAACCGCACACTCAATGGGAGGTTACTAGTCGCTGCGAAAGAATCCATGCGGGGCTGTTCATAATGTTGTATATCCTTGGTTTCCAGCACCCACATCGTCTTCGTCTGAGGAAATATCGTCCATTCGCGTGGCCCGGTCTGCTCCCGGTGCTCTGGCCAACCGCTTAAGGCGCTCCTGCTCCAATCGGTCCGTGCACTTGGAGCACCTACGGTCCATCATTGTTGTCCCAATGCAGGATAATTAAATCATGTCAAGAGAAATCTACGAGAACGGAGAGACATCGTTAAGGTAAGAGATTCGAAGTGGTACGTCGTGATGTTTCACAAGTCTACCGTCCCTCAAGTTCTGATCCCGTGGCAGGCTTGCGGAAAACAAGTGATGATGGATTCTGGGAAACGTTTATTCAGGTTACAAGCATCGTTTATCGTTGGCTCGATCTACAAAATTTTGTAGTTGCTCTGCCCAAGCAATGCAACAAACGTATTTTCACTCATTCCGGAACAATGGAAGACACGATGTTATACCACATTCCCGAAGTGTGCATCGTACACCTCGACAATTGACTTCGATTGGCCCAGTTGAGAGGTGGGCCAAGTAAAGACAGTTGCTAGAACCAGTACTCAGCCGAGCGTGACTCCATCACGAGTGCGGCTGAAGCTGTGCCGCGGTAGCGACTGACAAGTCTACCTATATATCGCCTTTCGGTAACGTCACCAGTTAGGTGGCGTGCCTCCCCGTAGTCGCGGTTAAAAGTTATGGTGAGCTTCAACTTGAGACTTCCAAGATGGAGTCTTGAAGGGGAGGCACGGCATCGGTATCCCGCTTACCTCGTGATGTACTCGGCATTGGCGCGGAAGTATGCCTTCCACAGGTTAGCATCCATTTCGTCCACGCCGTACAGCTCCTATGAAAACATGGCAAGCGCAAAGCAGAGGGCAAGAGAGAAGCCGTGAATGGAATGCTCGGTGATCCCGAACAGTCAGGAGTAGTGCACAAGCCGTGGGAAACAGATGTGAACGGCCGCTTTCCTCACACTAAAGAATGACTGCGACCTTATCATCCAACCAATGTAATCAGGAGTATTGTCGATGTTGACCCGCGACAACGTGCGACGAAGACGGGAAGGCAATTGGAGTCTCACAGACACATATGATAGGAGATGGCGAAGGTGATGGCCGTCCATACTGATACGACAATTGTCTCGTCACCCGCGTATTCTCAAACGAAAAGCCTACTCGCTTACGCTCAATCCGACAACGACCAGGTACCCAATTTTGTTACCTCGAAACCTGCGATGAGGCGGTCGATCGCGTATGCGTCGGCCTTGCCCTCCAGAGCTAAGGACACTGCGAGGGTTCGGCCCTGCTGTCCCGCCGCGCATTCGCAAATTGCACAGTGTTCCGCCTGGGGGAGTTCGTTCAGTTGCAGAAAAAGAGATAAACGATGGTGGACCATGTTCCAGTGTTGTTGTCGATATTTTCCTTGTTGTCATGGTGCATCGACGTTGTCGCTGATAGTGCTGCTGTTACCGTACGTGCAAACACCTCGCGCGAAACATTTGACCTCTTAACTGCGGTCCTGGTCGTTGCTGGTGTCGGAAACAAGTCTAAAGCAGTCACGAAAGGCTTGATTTGGGTCCTCGATGCCATCGAAGTACTTCCAAACCCATCACAGCGCACATGACAACTCTCACCACAGAAACACACCGGAAAATCCAGCGATATTACGTTCGGTCTTGCCCTATGAGGTCATCCTACGTCTCTCTTACCTGGTTGTTTTGCACGATGCCGGCAACGAACTTCCAGAACGACCGGCGCTTCCTAGCCTTGGAAAGCCACAACCGAGCGATCGCCAAGGAGGCTCCGACGAGTGGTGTTCGAGGCCAGTTGCGGCGTTGTTCCTGCGGAACATTTCGGTTGAGTTCGTGTTGGTGCGTAGCAAAGATTGGGAGTGTGACCAAACCCCTCTACTTCAATAGGCCGTCCTGCCGATGAGTCCAACTGCAAGATATCTCTTGGAAGGAAGATAACAGATTCGAGAAAATGACCGGGGATTCGAGCAACTTTTTGTTGTGGGAGTGAGTGCCGCCGTACCTCCATTTCGTCCTCTTCGTCAGAAGAAATGTCGCTCCGGTCTCCTGGTCTCCGCACCCCCTCCCCCATACCCATCAGCTCTGCATAGACATCACGGACGTACTCCACAGCTGGTCTCCTGGTTTTCATCCCAAGCGATCGACGATGAGTAAGTCACAACATGAACGGACGAAATTATGCCCTGTCAACTGCCTCACCAAGAAGACCTGTGGTACTTGTTGTCACCAGCTTGCCACGAACGAACCAGCTCGAACGCTGACTGCCGAACATAAACGACGCCGGAACAACGACAGCCCAAACACGTCTCAAGCTACTTCACCTACCCGTCTGGCCCTGTGTTCTGTAGTGTCCTTGGCGTGAGTAGATCTGTCAGGTGCTGCAAGATCCACGGCCGGTTTCGCTCGAGGAAGCGATGCCGGAAACGCTCGCTGTTGAGGGCCTGCAACTCGAGCCGCTCCTGCTCCAGGTTAGCCTAAACTCGATTGATTGATCACACGAGGTGCGACCCACACGAACGCAGAGGCAGGGTTCGGGATGTTCGATAATAGAAGAACAGAACATGCTGGCCATCTCACACTTTGAAGGAATGATTGAAATTGGTCCAGCGGTATGTGGTATTAGGTAGCTACCATGGCAAGTAAGAACGGTGCACTGTTGGTAGCGGAACATCCTCTCGAAATGGGGGCGCACCTGTCGACCCTCTCCGATGGCGAGTTTCGCCGCAATGTCGTCATCAACGGTGCCCTCGATGTTTTTCGTCATCCACAGGCCTCTCCATCCCATCCTTTTCACCTTTGAGAACATCAACAGGAGAACGCGGTGATTTTCGAAGGGCTCTGAAGAAAAGGCAGGCCGAGAAAAAAAATATAATCTCCTATCGTGACTAGTCTACCTTATATGCGACCGTTGCGGTGACCACATGCACACAATGCCCTTTTCTCTTTGGACCCAACCTTGATATTTGCTAACCGCCGGAGCAGCTGCTGCACGAGGTCTCCGAACAGGAACATAACGGCGAAGATGAGTGGCCCGACAGGGTCGCCGAAGAGGCTGTACTCCCAACGCAAGAATATCGTGAGCCCCATTAGCCCCAGTACCATCCCCACGGCGAACAGCGCGTTGATGAAATAGAACTGTAATCAACATGGACGAGCGTAGGGTGGGGCCGGGGTGTAGAAAGGGTTGGTTCTTGATCGTTGATTGTGCAGGGGAATTCAAAACCATGGCACATTTACCGGGACAAGCCTGAATATAGTAAAATTCCTTGCCAAAAGAATGGTCGGTGGTGGCGGAAAGAATATATCATACTTGAATATCAACTTGTGTGCGTCCCGTGGAACCGCCACGAACGGTACTTCGGTCGAACCCATGTGCACATGGGGCCTCTTCCGCAACACATGTTAGAGCGGAGTGAGGCGAGCCCAGAAATATGGATGGCGTTATTTCCGTGCCTGCGAGCTGAAGCACAGCAAGTCCAGGGTCTGCATGGGTTCCGCGATGGACTCGTCGAGGGTTTCGTTTCGCATCATCCAGCGGTGTTGCCGAACGCTGAAGCGGTACTTCTGGTACGCGATGTAGTCGTACACTCGCCACCCGTGTACAAGCTGCACAGCACCAGGGAAAAAGAAACGGACATGAATATGTCAGATTCAGCAGCACCCAATAAAAGCAAAGCACGATTGCATGAGAGGAGCTGGAAAATCGGTGGACCAGCAACCACAACGTCGAACCCATCCTTCCGATAGAACGAAGGGCCTTGAGATGGGCAATTCCCAGTTAACTCGTGTTAGCCTTTGACATGCAGCAGACGCCTCGTTCCCTCCAAAAGTGATAAGCGCGCGAGCGAGTTGACAAGAAGTCAGGTATTGTAGCACCTAACACAGCCTACCTCCTGCGTGTTGAGCACGAACACGTCCATGATGAGCGAGAACGGGATGATCACCAAGGCGAAGGCAAGGTAGTAGCCCATCTCGTTGTCGCGGATGCCGTACAGCTCGGCCATCTTGGTCTGCTGGCTGAAGACCATGATCAAGAAGATCACGCCAGGCATGATGAACATGCCCAGGACCTGACGCACGAGCGTTGGATTCTTGGTCCTTGTTTATTGCCGGGATTGTCATGGCTCACAGCGTTTATGTGTATTGTTTGCCTTCTGTTGCTAAAAAGCACATGGGTTCAGGATTTGATATTGAAGTATCTGAGCCTAACAATACTCGATTGAACGGTCCGACGTTATCTACAATACTTCGAAGTCCTTTTGCACTGCAGCAGACTCTCTCTTTTAAATATAGTAACAGACACGTGCTCAGAGCTGACATCACATAATCTCACCTTACAGTGGAAGCTGTATTGAGATGCTCTTGTTTTTCCCAAACATACAATTCCATGCCATGCTCGTGTACAGGGCAATTACACCGAGCGCAAACACTTTCCAAGCCTACTCCACATAATCCGACAGCTTGAAATACCTCGGTTGAATACACGAAATAGGAGTCCAAGAGGGGCTCCACGCCTTCCCGCTCCAGCTCTATATCCTCATTGATCTTGCGCCAGGCCATCTCCTCTTTTGCCTTATCTTCTCGGGTCATTCGCCGACGGCGGGAGAAGCGCCTCTTCCACATCATTCGCCATCTTGGGTACAGCTTTGACATCTGTTGGTGTACGTGTCGTTGTGTCGGCGTCGCTGGTTGGTACACGCTACTGCTGCTTCTTCACAATACCACGACGTTCTGACCTCTTACCTGGTACACTCGTTTTCCGTAGCGAATGCACACAAGGGTGCACAATGCTGATTGCTGCACGTTTCAGAGCTTCCGTGCGTGGGGGAATTGCATGAACGCAGCTTCACGCTTGGGTTGCGGTGTGATAACCTTTGTTGAGGATCTGTTGTAGACAATGGACTGTGGTGCATCGTCGCAAAGCTGTAAACTGCAAGTACTATACACCGGGGTTGAGCAGTGTTCCGGAACGTTCGCGAAGAAAAGAAGCTGGCAACAACGCACCTCGAGTATCAACGACCAACTCCGAACAGTGAGCATATTGTCAAAGCGCACCAGCATCGAGTAAGTGTAGGAATACCACTAAGAACTTCAGTGGCCACAACAACAAGGCCAACGAAAACGTACCTCCTTAGTACCGGGGTCGAGGTAGAGCCTCTCGAGCATCATCACCGATAGCTCCACAAAGAATGAAACCACGAAGTCCTGCCGGCGAACGCGCACGAACGGTGGGGCAATATTCGATCAAGGACGATTTCTTTCTTCGCTGGTGTTACGACGAACACGCCGCTACGAAACTAAATCGGCACGCTACCGTTTGGTTTTCGCATGCATTGGGGTGTTTCACCGGCGACGGCATTTGGTGGAGCATCGCATACCTTGAAATCTTCGGCACCCATCGTGACAAGTTGTTCCGTGATTCCAACTACCACGAGGAGGGGTGCCACCATGAGAAGCTCCCGCAGGAGACCCTCAAGCACGAGGTCCATAAACATCTGTCGGGAATGGGATCATAGGGTATCGAAAAATGAAGTGATGGCTTGTATCAGGGCAGGCCAACAGCCATCCTCACGCATGCGATTGAGGCAACATGTGAAGAGGTGTTCATGTGCCTTTTTTGTCAGGCCGTTCGATTGCGCACGCATTCTGTCTTCGTGGCGCATGCACGGCGATTGTCCATCGCACCCCCACCGCTCCGCTGTTTCTTCATGCTTGAGCGCCACCAAAGTTCAGTCTACAACAACTGACAGGATTTCTCTGTTGAACCATGTTGGATCGCCTCGAGAATTTCCGCAAAATGTGAACGAACCTGAGCGATCTTGAAACCCACGATGAACTGGTACACGTATGTGGCAAAGGTGTTGGAGTACGAGAACTCCCAGATGCCCACCAGGAGACCCTGCATGACAAGCGATGCCCACAGCAGGTGGGCACGCTTCCACTGCATAGGCGCGAAGACCGGAGATTTTGGTAGTTGATCCTGTAAGGGGGGTAAGAAGAGACCAACGACGAATGAAGGGATAGAGGTAGTTATCACGCTGCTGCGGTTCGATCGAAGTCCGTCGTTGGCAGAGAGTGTGTTTAGCGGTGTGCCAGAAAAAAGTCGTGCCGCTATCGAGCAGAATTTTGGATATCGCCTCTTGGACGGCACGCATGTCGGTACAACATGTATGTCGTTGGGCCAGCACAGAGATGGCTGTGGGAGCTATAGCAGTCCTATCGAAGGTTAGTAATATTCGAAACTGAGATTAGGCGGTGACAAATATTGAACGGTGACAATAAAAAAAAGCACATGAACTGAATGTACGTTAGTTCTGTAGGTTCGCCGAATGAGGGCATGGAGAAGGGAACCAAGTGGGTATCACAAAAATACACTAACGTCGTCTTCGTCGTTGTAGTAGATGTCCTTGGCCACGTTGGCTTCGGCCTCCGCCTTGTTCTCCTCTGACCAGTCCGGCACGAACAGCTCGACGGAGATGAGAGCAATATAGATCATGGAGGCTATCAGGCACACTCCGATCCGGCCGGTGCGGTAGGTCAGGACGCGGTCCGTCGTAAGAGCAAGATTGTCTTGCCAGCTCCTGCATGTCGTTCGAAAATTCAGTTCGCAACAACACGATGGGGTATGAATGTTTGGTGGTCATCGCGTACGGTAGAGTTACTGCGACATAGAGTACCTTCAATCAACCAAATTATGGCGCCTGTTCGTCCCTTACGGGGGATATTTGGTTATGTTGCATATCGCTGCTTGGACTAGGCCACCACACGCATGCTGCCCATGATTCAGTGAGTAAGGAAGACGATATTTCGTTGTTGTCTGAAATAAGTCAAGCCGTTATCCATCGGAACTACTGTTTGGAGTTCGACCCAGCGAATCCGGATCGGTGATATCGTGTGGAACAACGCACCCGGTTATTCCTTCGAAGTTGAAAGCCGAAGGCGTGGTCACAGGGTCCGAAGACGCCAGGAAACTGTTCTCCGCAAACCAGCACCATACGAACGCTACGGTGAGCAGCGCTGGGACGAAAGCTAGTAGCACCCCTTGCGTCGGTGCCTCCGACACGATGTGGAACAACACCGATCCGTGGAATTTCGGCGGGTGTCGGAGCTTGGTGAGGAGGCGGTTGATACCCCACACGATAATCGCCTCCGTAACCGCAATAATACTGATACGTTAAGATCGAAACACGTCCAGGCAACAAAATGCGTGGCGGGGCAGGAGGGGGGCAGGTGGGGGGGGGGGCGATGTTGTAGAGGCATGCTGTAGTACTGGATTACAGGTTCACGTGAGAAATGAATTGTTGCAATCTCAAAGCCATGCTTCGGCCAATGTGAATTTATTCTCTCTGCTGCTTGCGATCGTCGTAACACGAGAACCGTCAACAAGGAGCATCAGGGCCAACGATTTCCGAAGGTTTTAGCACGAATTTTCACTGTGAGACACTCAAAACTGCGCCTGTGTACGTGGTACGAAAGAGACTCACGAAATAGACCGACAACGTTGTCAAAGTCGGATGCATAAGCTTGTCAGAACGTTCTATAACGTCAGGGTGAAAGTCTTGAGGTGAACGTACGTCGGAACTCACCCGACCGCCATGAAAAGAACCATGTAGAGCATCCAGTCGAACTCGAAGAAATTGACCAGATCCATCCATGTAAGCGCCACATACTGCACTTCCAGGGTGTACCCATAGTCCTTCAGATCGCCATTGATGTCCACCTCGCAAGGCTCGATCGACTGGAACCACCAAAGCAGGCAAATTCCATTCAAAGTCAAATAATGGTTTCACCGACGGTGTTTGGTGTGGGGAAACAAGAGGTTGAAATACCAGGAGGTGGAGTTGTGACGAAGGAAAACTCGTCTTGAGTGGCTGCAGTCGAAATCTGGAAGATCAATTGCAATGTCGGTTTTCACGGTTATTACCACGGTACCTTGGCGGCAAAGGTTTCGAGGAGAACTTCGTTTCCGCCGTACTCCAGCGGGGGGATGGTAGTACAGAGCTCGGTGAACTCGAAAAACATGTCGACCATCCGCTTCGTCCCGCGCTGCCTCTGGAAGTAGTTGATCGTCAACTGTAACGGCGCGAGGAGGAGCGAGAAATGGGTTTGTTCATCAGAAACAGGTCCGTGCAAGCGCCACCTACTTTTCGGTGGATTTCCCGCACATGTGCTTCTTGGCGACCGCAATATTTTCGAAACTCTTTTTTCCAAACTAACGCCCCATGTTTCCAGCCACGTACAAGTCCCAAATAGTCTCGCCTGTGAGTGGCGTGGGCGCTACAGCAACCGCAGGCCAACCTGCAACATGTACTGGAGACTCACTGGGCTCCCGTTTCAACAATTTCTCATCACAACAAGTTGTCACAAGAACCGCATCGAATATGTTGTTGGCCCAGAAGTACTGAACCTTCGAAGTTGGGAAAACGAAGACCGAAACGAATGGGACGCATATATGAGGGTGGTTGGTAGTCATCTACAAACTTGATATTTTTGCAGATTCCGACATAAGGTGTCACGAGTGAAAACCCAGCCCCGACATCCTCACCTTAACGTTTTGAGGCTTGGTGTGTTTTTCTCCGGGATAGTCCTCGGAAACCTCTACTGGCACGTAACGGTAGGTTCCCAACAAGCTCTGAAGGATGAATCCATGAAACAAGGACAGCAGCGCCGGTTCATGTCCGGTTAACACAGGTCGAGAGAGGCATAATCGGTTGTGCGGAGACAGTTGCTCTCGCGAGCGGTTAATGAGAGAGCGGCTGGTAAGAGTGGGATGCAGTGAATCTACCCAAACCCCGCGCGAACGTGATGAGGGCGGCAGTAAGCGCTGCAATGCACGTGCAGAGTTGGAGGCATCGCGTTTGAATCATGACATTCGGCGGGAAAACGCTAGCTCTAGCCGGCCCTCGACGTTCGGTTGTGCAGTAGCCACGAAACTCCGCCTGGCGACATGCCGTTGGACTAAACAAACTCGAGGAGTTCAGGTATTCAATCCTCAACGATCGTAGTGTGATGGACACGAGAAACTCAAAGTTGCACCTCCAAAGTTGAACTCCGCCCCCAACCAGTGACCATGTCTCCGTTGCTGTCAACGGTCTCCTCGAAGTCCGCCGGGTCTAAGGGATCCTTCGTCACGTGGAAGAGAGTCGTGCCGGCGTCAGCTTCGAACCACCTGCAGCATCGCGATACGGTTTTGTGCGGAGTGATGACAGAGGTGTAACGGGCCTATCGAAGCTATGCAACAACAAGATGATAGGATCGTGTGGTGATTCATCGTGAAACTTCATCAAGACATGATGCATATGAACACTCGGGCATAGAAATAAGGCAGCGCCTGTTGTCTGAAGCACCTTCTCTGTGCCGAGGCCATAGAGATGTCCTCTTCGTACGTGCAGTCCAGGTAGACGCCCCTAGTCTCTTCGGCGATGAGCAAGTTGCCGTCATCGTCGTACCGCTCTTCGGAAGTAAGCTGCACAAGGCACTCATCCGAAAATGGAGACTTGCCGATGCTTCGCCACTGGTTGATTGCCTTTGTTTGCTCGTACGGAATCTGATTTCGTGGTGCAAAGGCGAGGGTAACAGGTCAGCTCTTCGAGCGTTTGCCAATGAGGCCGATTCCGACAGAGACGAATGAACATTCGTCATAGACACAAGACGTTTTCGCGAATGAACAAGGGTTGAAAAGTCTCTATAACACGCGGTTCAAGAAAGAAAATGCAACCGCATCTCGCTCACCAGCGTGCATCCCGGATGCGACTCCACGAGCTTGGAGAAACTCATGTGGTTTCCGTAGCCAGCGCACGAGCTCAGGAATGGAAAGTACGGCGTGGTGAGGAAGGTGTTCGCGCCGGAGTCGTCTCCGGAGGCCCACCTGCGATAGGACAGAGCAAATGACATTGAACGTGTGTTGCTGAGAATTTAAGAAGAAATGGCGGTTTGCTTGGTGCTTTGGTGATTGTCGCACACGCCGAAAATTTGCGACATGCAGCCGAGTTTTACCCCAGCGAACGGTCGCTTCCGACAAGTGTTCCAACCTCACGCACTCCATGTCATGTTCGACGCGAAGGGGACCCTACATGTGGACACAGCCTTGGTCGTAGCAGTGAGACTCACCAGTTCGAGTCTTCGAAGACATCGTCATAATCCGGTCGGACAACCTCGCGCTCCGGAATGATGTCGTAGTCGGGGATTGTGGCGTTGTCGTTTGCAAGGAAGGCCTCCTGATTCAGGTACCTCGCGTACTTGGTGTAGTATGAAGGGTCCGCGACGTCAATGTCATAGGCCCGGTCGATGAACACCTTGGAAGATATATTGGTGGGAGGCGTTTCAGCAGAAAGTGGTGACGGAAAAGGGTCAAGGTTGGTACAGAAGCTATCTCGAGGCTTCCGAAAAGAAAGATACAACTGTTACCTTTTCGGACATTCTCGCATGCACATGTCTACCAGATGTGGGTTTCTCAGTTGGCCAGATTTGAATATTGCAGAAGCGTGAGAATACGCGAGTGAGAGAACTCCACATCTCCGAACAAGAAACAACCACCATCGCGTGCACAATGGTCATTGATCCCCGCGAGAGAGACTCCACGCTCACAGCCAGGTCCCACGCACGTTGACTTTACCTTGTTTTCGAAGACTGCCTCCGTCACCGAGGGGAGCGACGCCGCCACGCGCACGTGTTCTTTTGGAAGGTTGAACGGGAGCTTTGACGGAGAAGAGATCCGAAACAACAACAGCAACAAACGTTGGGGTGCTATAGTTTGAGGGGTGATATGGCACGGCCATTTTCCAAGGTGCATGAAACAGATATGGACTTCGACACACCTCTCCTCCCGAAAATCAAGTGTCAAAGGGACGCCACGAAAACTGGGTCCGTCAATCATGCATCCTTTGCTTTGAGTTGGTGCACTGGGTACTGATTGCAAGAAGTGTATGATGTTCTGTTGATTGGCATTTCATCGGCCTTTGAGAAGTTTGAACGCGAGGGGCCGATTAGTGTACCTGCAAGTCCGTGAAGTCATCCTTGGCGAGCAGAAAGAAGAAGGACTTTCGCGACGGTTCCAGGGGCTTATAGTCCGATCTCGCGGGGGTGAAGATGAAGAGCTCTCCGATGTTTTCCATCATGTTGTCGAAGTCAGAATAGTACATTCCGTGAAGCAGCTCGAGGGCAGCCGTGATCTCCACCTCCTTGAGAGCCGTCAGAGAGAAGCTAATCAAATTGTGCTTCGTATCAGGATAACTGTGGTCGGACAGGGTAAAAAAAGGTGGGCGAAAGAGTGAGAGTTACTTTTCACCAATGCACCGGGGATCGAAGGGGTCAAACACTGGGAACGGCTCCTTGACATACTCATATTCCTGAACAGAGTGTAAGCTGAGGGGTTGCCAGCGTACAAGCCTCCCACTCCACATGTGCTCAGAGTGCAAGGACATATACTTGGAGGGGGGGAACACGAGCCTGAGGAGAAAAGAATGTAAAGAAGCCTAAAGTTGCTGTAGATAATCAGCCCACCGATACCGTCATTCTGAGTTTGCATACAAAAGGATCACCGTGGCGTTCGGATAACCCACGATATTCAGCTTGTTCAAGCGTAAGCCAATGTTACCGTCCCACAAACCTACTCAATGGTTCCTTCTCTAAGATATATTGCGTCCACGGCTCACCCCTGGTCCGCAGATGTGTCATCGAAGTACGGCGGCAAGCTATGCGACTCGCACTGGCAGCATCCTGGGGTGGTCTCGTAGACCTCTCCTGGAAAAATGGGAAGAGGAACCGTGTTGGCGACATATTGTTCTAATCCTTTACGTATTCCGAAAAAAATTCAGTACATAGAGCCAGTGTCTCCCCAAGGTCTCGTAACGACTCGCAATATTTTTTGTACGAAGCCTATGGTAACACCCGACGGCGCGCCCTCTCTCACCTTCTCGGTCTTCTGGGGTGTAGAACCACGAATCTTCTTGAGCGTTCCCGCTCAACGGATTTCCACTCTGATCGAAGAGCATCTGCCATTCGAGAACCGGCCACTCCGTGTCGTCGCAGAAGGCGGGAATCTGCCGGCAGCGGTACCTACGGCAGCGTGCAACCAGGCACGCACACGACAGGAGGAACACTCAGACAGCTGACCACCGGCAAACAGTATCACGTCACACGCAGCTCAAAACAGTTTGTTTTAAACGAATCAACGAAATGATCCCTGAATTAATTCGAGCATTCGCTACCAGACGCTGATTCACTACACATTGTCCTTGGTCAGAGAAATTCCGATGAGTGTGGGCTTCCATATCTATCACCACGATGTGGTACCACATGCGTTGGAAAAACCCTCATAATGTAGACCTTGAGCATATGTCAGATCACAAATTTCAATGTTGAACCGAAGCGGCGAAGATTCCACGTCTGAAAGCCTGGGACAATTTGCTCACCAGTCTGGCATCTCGAACGAGTCAATGGATTCTTCGCTGCCACATCCAACCGTTGTGCCGTTGTTGTCGAAGCACGTTGTCACGAAATATTTCTGGAGGCAGTCTTCGTACGCTTCCATCTGAAGGTCCAGGCTAGAAATATTCAAGTCCGGGAACGCCACCGAATCGGGCATAGGTGCGTGAAGGTTAGGAGATTGGGCATGGGGCAGTTCGGCCGAATCGCTTCGTTAAGTGCGTTGCATCCGTCGGTGTTCGGCAATATTTTCTTGTGTTGGTCTCATCCGACCAACCAGCCGTGCAGTGGAACCCCCTCACCTTGGGGTCGAGCATGTGGGAGGCTCTACCTCCCATTCGCACTGGTACCGGGTTGGGCAAGGCTTGCAGTCCAAGTACACGGCGAGCTGATAGTGCTGCCCATACGTGACGTTTCGTGACAGGGCGGAGAGGTCGAGCGTGACCACGGCCACCTGCGGAAGACAGCAAGAGGGGGCGCTCGCTGAATGCAAAGTTCGTGGCCATCCAGGTTCCACAGACCAAACGTCTGCCTGGTTGGCAGCAAACAGAGCAATGGAATTCCTTCCTCTTGGGACCCAATCGACACCCAACAACACGTAAAGACCAAAGTACATCCGATGGTTGATACCGTTGGTACAAGGTGGATTGCTTGTGTGGGAGACTCCATGTGTAAAATCAACCCATCAACGTTCTGGGACGAAGAGTTGTACATGTTGGCGCGGTCGGGCATCCTCCTCACCTCAAGGGAGTCTAGTCTCAGGGTGCCGAGAGTGAAGTCATCCCTCCCCGTTAACTCCGAGAAGGCGCTACCGTTGTTGACGTGGTCCGAGTAGTTCGGACTGAACATGTACCGGTCAGGGATGGCGTTGAGCCTTCGCAGCACGCTCCCGTCGGCCTGTCGTTCACAGGTTCGTCCAAAATAGGGATAGCGATTTTAGATGATCTTCCATTGTTCCGGGACTGCATCCAGCTCAAGAAAAAACACTCTCTAGCAGATTTCCCCCAGTACGATAGTGTCAGGCGACTTAATTGTGCACGTTTCCCCTGGTGGGCAGACGTAATCTTATTCCCGAATTTTCTAACACCGCAACGACGCACCTCGCAGTTGTAAATGTTCTCGCTGCCTGCCGCGGAGATGGTCCCGTTCGGACAGTGGAGGAGTCGTTCGCACTCACACATGTCTAGTCTCCCTGGAAGACCTTCTTCGTCGATCCACACCAGATCCTCCAGTCTCTCTATTGGATGTCATCAAGAAAAAGGCGCACCGGCGTCAAGGCAAAGAAGATTGCACGCGACAAACATGTTGCAATTTGTTGCTGATTTCGGCGCCCTGGCCCGTCCCCGAGGGACGGATGAAAAGTAAACCCTGCGATGAATTTGGAAGGATGCACTCACCCCCGAACTCTTCAACGTAGCGCACGGCCTGGTACAGGTCATACACGTACGGATCCATCGCGTCTCGACTGCCGGCGACTCTCTGCTCGTACTCGCTTTCGTACTCGCTTTCCACCGCCCGCTTCAAGTTTTCGTAGGTCAAGAAATCCCGAGACTCTGTCCACGTGAACTGCGCTCTTAGCCCCACTGATGTGTTGAGATAGAGTGCGCCAGCCGAGAGCTCCCAAACAGACGACACCTATGAAAGGGAGGCAAACAGGCATGAATACTGGTTCACCCAGAGTTGCCGCGAGCTAACCGGTTTCTGACATCATACTCAATCTACAGAACTACATCCGTATCTCCGTTTCGAAGTCGACCGCCGAGACCGAATCTCCGCCGAAAACAAGGATAATAACCGCCACGATGCGGGCACAAAGGCAATGATCGTCATCACTCACATCAGGGTCGTACGGAATAGCTCCGTAGGTGAGGTTCAGCCCTAATCCCGCGTTGTTGCCATCACCATCGGTGGACGCCCCCTGAAACTCGCAAACCTTGGAGCTAAGATGTTCTCGCTCGAACCAAAAGTCTCGTCCGCCGTTGTACTCTTCGTGGATGCTGGCGATACCGAGATCGTCCAGCTCTCCTCCCGAGCACCGCCATAGCCGGTACACCCCGGCAATGACGTAGATCTTTGTTGTTGGAAATAATTAATCGGATAAACAACAGGTATGTATGGAAAGGTAGGCAAGAGAAGGGGGAACCAGAAAAAGCATAGGGACGGGGGGGAGGGGTCAGAGGAGGAACAACGCTGAGAATAGCCTATATCTAGTTGTGCGACCTTGCCGCATATACCGAAGGGGTTGCAATACCTGATTCACGCAATTGCACTCCTGCCGCTCGATGGCCATGCTAACGAGCCTCCACTTGTGATCACGCGCGCACGACAAGTCCATGGCAATGGCCTCGTTTATAACGGACGGCCGCACGTATCCCTCCACGTCCAGGTAGGTGCCCGCATCGTCCAGCCCTCCGGCGCCCGCTCGGTCGCGCACGGCCGAGCTCGACGTAAGGGACGTATCGTTCGTGTAAGGAGGCTTTCCTTCGCGTGCCACGCGCAGGTAGTCCACCGTGAGGCTGTTCGGCGGGTCTGTGTTCTCGCCCAGCCAGCGGGTGTAGTAGCGTTCCTTGTGGCCCGTGTCGCTGCCGGCCAGGCAGCGGAGGTCGTGGGCGCTGACCATGCGCACATCCTGTGTCCATTTATATTCCGGTTCGGTGGGTAAAGTGGGACCACGGTAGCAGGGATGACCAAAGGGTACATCATGGAAAGTTACTATGTACCCGTTAGCTCAGCACAAAATCGTAAATGTGTTGTTCACCGCGGGTATCAACTACTGGAACTAAAAGCGACGCCGAGGTGACGAAGAACGTTTAGATTCATTTCGATGGTACACGAAAACTAGGCAAACTGCTCGACAACAACGAGATGAGAGATCTTGTCGCCGACATAATTTCGGGCGTCGGCGCTGAGAAACGGTTTGCTTTTAGAGCGAAGTCATATTCCCGTCTAAGGATATATCAAGTGACAACTTAACCACCACGAAAGAGACCATGGCATGAATGTCGCCAGCCGAAAGGGAGGAAGAAACAAGAACTCTCATACAAATGTTCACTCACTTCGTCTCCGAGGTACTTTAGGGTGTCCACGTTCAGGAAGGGGTTGACTTGTTCCGCCGTCAGGCCCCTGTTCACCGCGTCGTCGGCCATCTGACCCGTGCGCGGGTCCCCCGTCCCCGTGGGGCAAAAGTAATTCTCGTAGCAAACCTGAATTGATCATGACCCAAGCAAAGCAGAGATAAGCGGGAGTCGGAACGTATGGGCGCGCTTGTGTGCCTTGCAGGCACCGGTCGATTTCTTGATTCTGCCGTACCTCTGAAAGACGTGTGCGGTGGTAACCGCAGCAGATTGCTCAATCAAAAACAACGGATGCCCTGTAGATCAAAGAAAGAGATTATCACAGCACAAGCGAGAGCCTGGGCATGCAACGACGAGGATTGATTTCCAACTCCGCCTGAATGCGACTTATTTCTACAAGCCTCGCTTTCTTGCTCGTAGGAAAGAGGTAACCGCCACATTGGATCGTCGCCTAGACCAATGTCGAACCAGGTTGTGGCAAGCTACGAGCCATACCTGTCGATAGGCCTGTCCTAGGCCTGTTGCGTCCGTGCACACGAAGCCAACCGGGCAAAGCTGAGTGAACTGCCCTTCGGGGGCCTCGAGATCCGGATCCGGCGTGGTGCCGAAGTCACACACGTAGCCCTCTCTGCAGGGGTGATGCACGCTCTCCTCGGAGTTGGAGGACTCCTCGCACACGTACCCTTCTGGGCAGGCTTCTGCCTCGGTGCTGCCCGACACATCGCAGATGATATCGGCCTTCGCAGTTTGGGCAGAGAATGTTCAAGGGCAGCAAATCAGGAAAAAACTGTAGCAGCAGTAGAGGCAAGGGCACCGAAGAAGAAACGAAGCACCCATGCGAGTGTCTTGGGGTTCGGCGGGCGACTTCGATATAACATATGTAGTCAAAGGTCTCTGCTGATGCCGCACCTCACACGTGCCCGGGTACCACGTATCGCTGACCAAGTTGATGAATCGTTGTCCCTCAGGGTCGTGATCCGGGTCTGTGTACACCATGGTCTCGTCGTCGTACGTGGCGCTGACGCTGTCATTGTTCATCAGCTAGGTAGGAAGCAACGCACGGGACAGAAAACAGCCGCGAGGGGTGTGAACGTTAATGGCATGGTCACAAGTAGCCTTTGGCAAGGATCTCCGTCAAGTATAAATTGCGATACCCCATTACAGCAAGGATTTCGGTACCTGGAACCCTGGGGTGCAGTTGAAGCTCGCGTCGTACACCCTTGATCGCGGCAGGTCGATGTAAAGGCTGCCCTTGCCCCAGAAACCGTCGTAGGAGTCCTCGTCCCCGTACCCCTGGTGATGAACGCCCGTCTGGATATCGTACTGCGGCCCGTAGTAGTGCTGCATGTGCTGATAAACCTGTTTGCAGTGATAGATGTCACCATCCCCGACGGAGGTTAGAGTAGGGTAGAATACACGCCACCGAGTTTCTAATCGGTTCACAGTACAGCAGTTGAAGTAAAGACACATGATACTTCGTGCCGCACACCTGCATTGTCGAAAAGGAAGGTGGGGAAGCATACCTTGCTTCCGAGGGCCTGCAGGTTACGGTAGCACTTTGCCTCTGACTGGTACAGTGTGTTGTCCGAATCCGTGGGCCGTAGGTGCGCCCCTCGGCCGAGCTTGTCGATGTATGGCGGTATCAGCTCTCCGAAGAAGTACTCCTGTGCCACACAAAATCGGCGCACCAAAAAATTGCGAAACAAAATCATCAGTGAAATTGGGTTGAAACAACATGACTATCGTTGCGCTTGCCATGTTGCCAAGGCTCATCAAGTATGTGGAAATCGCAACCGCAGCTGATCCCCTCACCTGGTCGACCGGGTCCAACGTTCCATCCGCGTAGCCATCGTTGAGGTGCAGGCACTCATACCCGCTGAAGTACGCCGGCCTCGCAAACTCGCTGTACAGGTACTCCAGCATGGGGATGTCGTTGACGCTAACGACGGGCTCGAAGGGAGTCGGCAGGTCGTCTTTGGAGCAGGGGTTGACCATGCCCTCAACCGAGCACACCACTCCGGTTGGACACCACTGGCACTCTCCAGCCTCCCTGAAGCATGCGGGAATGACGTACGAGAGTCGGTATACATGATGCTTTATCTTGAACCTCTACAGACCAACAGCACATCTATCCCTACACCCTCCGAACCGCTGTGATTTTCGAGGGTGATTTTCGAGGGCCTGCAAGCACACAGGCGAACACAGGTTGATGCCGAGGAGTCCAAACCAGGGTCAGACCAATGGCAAGAGAAGCCAACCCGTACATACCTGAGTTCCCAGTTCTTAGACCACGTCCCTTGAGGGCATGCTGCGCAGGGAGTTCCATCCTCGTCCAGCGTTGAACGGTATGTCCCGGGCGAACAAATATCGGCAACAGAAGTTCCGTCCTCCGCGCAGGTTGTTCCAGGCGGGCAAGGATAGCACTCCTCGGACTGATGGATTTTAGTTGTGGCCGAGTTTGAGAAACAGGTGGTGCGAGTGGATAGGTTCATGTCGCCACGATTCCAATCACACGGAAGAAAAATCGGTCCTGGTCTATGCCTTTACGTTCAAACGTATCGGCTTGCGAAGGTATTGACGGCTGGCGATCACGTCGACATGTGGGTAGCTGACGTCGATGCTATACTATGCAGGGACCACGGAACTGTTTTTGGAAGACCCCGCCAACACTAACAGTGCGATTGACTCATCATTTCCATCTCCACCGCCACTACCGACAGCAACAGCAACAACGACGAAAAACGACTACGACGGCCGCTGTCGTATGGCATGCAACACGCCCACCTCGATTGTCGGCGAGTAGAACCCAGGCAGACAGGCCGATGCCGATACCATCCCTTCCAGGTCGCTGAAATACCCTTTCGGGCTAGGGATGGGCACGGCCGTGCCCGCTGGACAGTAGAATCCCCTGGGACACAGCCCGCTCCCTGTTGGCCCGGTGCTTGAAAGGGGGTTGCATAAGATTACGTATAGATGAGTGTTGTTAATGTTAGATGGCGCCTTCTCATGGTGAAATATGTACCCTTGGCAAATATTGGCTAACGCACATTCAAAGGATGCATTTAGATGCGGGTTCTCCCCAGTTGTGGGTCCTGCCGTTTTGAACGATAAGCTCGGAGACAAACTATCCCCAGGCCCCGAGGAAAGCAGCTCGCACGTTCATAAATGCCGGAAGATTGTACGCTGATGGGGCGAATAGGCCCACATCGTGATCGAACTCCTACGTGCGCAGCATCCCGCAGAACTGAAATATGAGATCCCGCTCACTCCCACCACGTTCCCCACACTCAATCCCTTTTCCTTATCAACCCCCCTCCTGTGTCATGATCGTGCACACCTTGCTGTCTCGCAGAAGAAACCAGCTGGGCACGTCTGGGCGTACAGGTAGTCGCCAGAACGGACCTCGGAATAGCCGACCCCGCCCAAGCAGTACGAACCCGGAGAGCAGGGGTATGGGCGTAACGTTGTGTCGTTTCGGAAAGGGTCGGAGGTCACGGTCCCTTGAGGGCAGTAGAAACCTGGCACGCAACACACACCAATTCGCACGGCAAGCAAGAACGGCACAAGCGGTCAGGAAGAGTGACAGTAGAAGGAGCAGTATTGTTCAATTTTCGTCCACACGAAAGGAATTTGGCGGCGAGAAGTTGTATTCCCCTCCACACACGGAAAGGAATGGGCGACATGATGCGCCGGTACAGCACTACAAGGGACTCTAGCGAAGCTCCTCATTCGCCGGGTCCAAGCTTTTCTCACGTATCCATACTTGTAGCCATCCCCGATATCCAGCGCACCAACTTTTGCCTTGTACGTCCATGCGCGAAAATTTTGTGTGATGTCAATAGTCACTTACCGGGAGGACACCGCTGATTAGGTGAGGTAAGCAGAACCCTGCTGCACACCATCCCGGCCGGACACGGCGTGGGGTCAATCCTGCCAAACCCGGGGCAGATGTAGCCCCTCGGGCAAGACGTGCACGCCTTCTGCCCCACCATCGCGCTGAACTGGCCTGGCGGGCAGGGCATGGGGTCCCAGTGACCCTCGCGCGGGCAGTACGTTCCCACGGGACACGACAGACGGATCCCCGTAGGGCAGTAGAACCCGGACGGGCATTCGCCCACCCCAGACGGTCTCGAGCTTCCCTCGGGACAAAACATGCTCTGATGTGACATAGTACAAGTTTAAGACACCGGGGCAGGGGACAATAACCGTCAACACTGGAGGAAACAAGGCCGAGCGTACCCTACAACGGGTTCGATTGAAGGGGAAGATGAGGACGAGGTGCAACGTTTGGAAGTGTTGGCACGGGATCGATTGAATGGGAAGATGGGTAAGGGGTGCAACGTATGGACGTTCTTAATTGGTCCAATCTTGCTACCATCAACGAAACGTGGAACGCCGGAATTGCTCACCTCCAGGCAGGGCTGCGGCATGGTAAAGTTGTGCATCCCGAGGTCGTCGGACGCAGATCCCGGGTGACAGTACGTACCCGCCGGGCACGGGACGGGACGGCGAAGGCGGAAAGAGGCGTAGTCGAAACCGGACGAGTCGACGACTCTTTTTGCATACCGAAACAGCAGATGGGGGAGAGACGGGGGGGTCATAAATGTCAACCATTGAATCTGCAGACATACTGTAGATGGCTATAACAAGAATGCAGCTTCTCAGCATCTGTTCGCTGTGGCTCAATAGGCATTCACAACGTAGGCCCCCTTACCTGTAGTCGTTCGCGTCGTCCAGTTTCGCGCACGTGCTGTCCAGGCAGTATCGGCCCCGTAGGGGCGCAAAGGGAGAATCGTAGGAGAGTGGCCTAGTGTGCGCTTCCATCCAGAATCTTCGCGCGGTGATCAGTCCGAGACGACGGGCGGTTTGAAATGACGATGTTGATAATCGTACAACATACATCACTGTTCCACATATAGCATACGAAGCAAGACCATATCGATCACTCGTTTTCTCCGGCGGGGATTCCAAACAGACCGGACTGGCAGCAGCCCACTCTCCGAATCGTTGGCGTAGGAATGGCACGTGGGAAGAGCTTTCGAGACACGAAAGCAAGAACTCGTGTGTCTCGGCACGGCCAAAGCGCTTGACACCCACACCCACGCCCAATCCCTCCCATACTGAAGCAGATGATTAATGAAGCACCCCTCCTATCCGCGTGTGCAATAGGTCAGCCCAAAACCTCCACCAGTATAAGCATTACTATATTCAAGCAATTCGAGTACGTGTAGAATGGTGTTTGACAACAAGAGACATAGGCGTGAAGGCATAGGCACCTCGCAGGCATGTCCGACATCTGCAGCCCAAAGTCTTCTGTGGCGTTATTCCAGCACGCGACTGCCCTAGATCCAAGAACAAGCTCGCTTCCGAGGGGTTCATATCCCGGCCGCAGCGTGGATGTTGTCTCCGCATGACTTGCAGTCGGGAACAAACGCGAACTTGGGCTAAAGCAACACAATTGACGGGGGGCCGGAAGACGGGCGCGCGGGGCAGTATTTGATACCCGTATTGTTAGGCATGCACACGCCGGTTGCAACAATAAGCTCGGGGAGATGAAACGAATGTAGATTTCGGAACGAAATCAGGAAGAGTGGAATATCCCATGAAACATTTTGAAAAATGAGCCCCCTTTCTCTCTCCCGAAATACGCAAGAGCTTATCGAGGAGGAAGACTATATATTTGGCAGTAACATGCCGCCTCGCTACACGCGGCGCTGTGTCATAAAGATCGATATCGAACTTTTGAATGAACAAACGACAACAATATTTGAATATTGCACTCCATGAATGGAGGTCTACCATTGAGCCGAACAGGTCATTGACGACGAACAACCGTTTGAGGAATAAGGTTCACTTAATCCTTTGGGCAGTCCGCGTGCGGCGAGTGGGTGTACGGGCTTGAACCCCAAGCACCCATAGTCAACGGCAGTTTTAGCGGGTCGTCCCTCAAAACCTACTGAAGAGATATCCAGAGGTTTTTCCCTCGTTACTCCTCCGGCGATCTGAAAAATACTCAAGAAGATATCCAAATACACCCGTAGAATTCGAGTATTGTTCATGCCTTGGGTGGCCACAGGTTGTTGCCGTAGTTGCCGTCCCCTCCAGGCAAAAGTGGCCCTCAGGACAAGGCTGGTCCGCCCTCGCAACCCCGGTCACGTCGCACACGCGACCCGCGGGGCACACGCGGGGCACAGGCATGCCTTCGTCCGGGCAATGGAAACCCACCGGACAGCGCAAGCACGCACTTCTGCCGCGGCTGGGCTGGTAAGTCCCGAGCGGACACAGGGTGAAATTCTTGTTCGAGTCTCCGGGGCAGAAGGCTCCCTGGCAAAAACACGTAGTCGATGAGATAGCATGGGAGTCAGTCGGGGGGGGGGGGTAGGGTTACTCATAGTCGTGAATGCCGTAGTCGTTAGACCATTGACCTCGCATCCCTACAAAGCGCAGACGGAGCACGTCGGGTTCTCACCGGACCAGGTCCTCACATCACCAAGCGCGAAGCGCTGTGAGGTATTCGGCAAGTTGCATGAAGGGCGCGCTGCATCTTGCTAAGGGTGCTCGGCAGCTTGCGTTACTTCCTTATTTAGTTTGTTATATGGTGCTTCCACTTCCAGAGACAGGTATGATCACTGTGTAACTGCCTCGAGGGTGCTTGACGAATTTAGCACAACGTGGTGCGATCATCCCCTTTGCGCGGAGTGAGGGTTTGCGACCCCGCACAACACAATCTACTCGACCACCATTGTGGTTTCCGCATAAAATAACCAAACGCAAAAAAAAAGTGGTAACCTGGTTGCCGTCACGAAGCGGTTGGCTTGTTTTACAACATCGCTGCCAAGCAACGAAAACGCAACCCCGATGGCAAACACCGAGGGGGAGGAGAGTCGGTAGGAGGTAAAAATTGAGGTTAGTTGCGGATGGGCGCGCGACTTATATATGCACGGGCCAGTCTTCGGCTCCTCCACGACAGTGGCACTTGGAAAACGCCTCCACCCCTCTCGATTTTTGGCGTAACTCGAGTCGACGCACACCGCCGTACCATTGAAGCAAACTACACCCTTATTTAGGGGCACATTGTCAAGTAATAGTGCTGGGACCAGTGCGCTGAGTACACTCGTGCATCCGCCTCACCTGGGGGCAAGCAAGAATGGACGCAGCACTGGGCCCTACGCAGAAGCTGCCTCCAGGGCACGCTTGCTCCACCGTGTAAATAACCCGATCCGCGGTGTAGTCAAGGCCGTTGTTGGACACCTCTACGTAGAACGAGTCCCCGCCGCCGTCCAGGGGCCCAAGCCACGAGTCCGGGGATGATCCATCGTCGCCTTCCCGGGGACCGAACCCGCGGTTAGTTTCGCGGTTATAACCGCTATTCTCTTCCACTTTCCCGGCATGCGCGGTCTCGAAAACAGCGGCAGCCGATTCTGCGGAAGAGCCACGTATCGAAGCCGAGGCGGCGCGCGGAACGAAGCACAGAACGATGCTGGCTGATAGGAAGGTCCCGGGAGTGTTTGAGCCGCCGATTCGGCAGGACAGCGAGGTGGAGTTGACGAAGTTCTCGCCGGTGATGAAGAGGGCAGAACCCCCTGGGTCAAGGCCGGCGGCGAGGGAGATATTGTGGACGGAGGCGTCCGCCTGGTAGAGGAAAGTGGCCCCGCTGTCCGTGTAGTCTTGGCCATTGCATGTGACCTGTTGTTGCGTGCATACCCCGGCCAGGAGAGAAGGGCGGGCATTTAAGTCATACTGGAATCAACGCACCAGAAAGAAAGCGACATTGATTGGTTTTGGGTGGCTGTGATCACGTGTCGAGAGCTGGAAAATCAAAACTCTTCGGGCTGGTTGACCCTTACCTCCACTCCAACGGCCCGTTGGGGAAACAGTGGGTGATAGTGAGAGCCCGGGAACAGCTGCCGAGACCCCGTCAAAGGCTCATATTCTCGCTGCCAGATTTCGCTCAAAGACGACCACCGTAGCCCGCTCCCACCGTCGTCGCTGTCCTGATTTACCGCTGACACGAGGGGTGGCGACTCGCAAAAAAGTTCGTTGGGGTTCACAAACTTGGCAGGAACGGGCGGAGCGAGTCCGAAACGGCACGCTAACTTGGTTGTGTTGACGAAACCGCGGCCGTAGAAGGTCACCGCTGTTCCCGCCGCTTCGGCCGGCCCCGATACCGGCGTTATTCTTGCCAGCGCCTGAGACGAGGGCGTAAAAAAGCGGGCAGATTATGCGGGGAAATACCATAGGATATGTTAAGGGTATGTTAAGCGAGAGCGATACTGGTTGGGCAGGCGAACACCGTAGGGCATGTCAATGGAAGCGAGAAACCTGATTGGTGGTTGTCGATGCGGCTCTGTTGCCGGAACTGATGTTAGTATCCCCATTTACAGCTCCTTTCCAAAACGTTTCGAGAGAAAGGGAGGGAGGCTAATCACCGTATGTGCTCCTCAAGCTATCCGTTTCCGTACGTGTCTTTGCACAGCAGTACGAAACCCTTTGACCTTTTTGAAGATCACAATCTGTTGATTCTCTCTGTCGTTGGCTGGAAAGGGTATTCCTTGTATCGCCCCACCGACTCGCCTGGTCATCGAAGTACAAAAACGGGAACCGTCGTCCAGTGTAGTCCTGGTTGTTGAGCGAGAGCTCCAGGGGGTACGTCCCAGCCTCCATCGGCGGTGCATAGCACTGGACCTCTGACGGGGACAGCCTGGTCGCCAGGACAACTACTCCCGCGAAGCGACACCTGCAGGGCCATTTTCCAGGAGCACGGCACGTAAGCGTTATTTCTTCCTTTCGTGCCGGGTTCACCCGATGGCAGAGCGTGAAGAGCATAACCACTAGTCCACTAGTGGTTGTGCCAGACGAAATCGTCGGCGATGGCATGCGAAACGGTCGAGTGGATGGCAACGTACTAACGAGCGGCAGAACATCTATGTACTACAATTCGAAGCATACATGTGTAAAACCAGTCTTCACGCCTGGTTGCAGTCAATCAGGGTGGCCTAAGCACCAAGCGTAACGCTCCCAGCAGTAGATTGGGGGACACATTCGGAGGCTTCTCATGGTGACTGCGTGATAAGCACAGGAAGGGTCTCTGGACTGCCACCGTGAAACGCGGTATGTTACTTTTCCAGCTCTTGACAACGAATTTTTTCCATCTACCTTAGCTCCGGCGTGTCCGGGAAAGGCCCGCCCGCCACACGAACGCTGAAATTTCCCGAAGCCGGACCAAGGTGAGGCACCACGCTCCCGATCTCCGGGGTTGCCTCGTACCGGAAATAAACGCCTGATCGTGAGAACGTAGACCAAGGCGCAGCACCCCCTCCGACGGCGGCATTGTTCGTCACCTCGACTGCCGCCGCGGCGCCGACCGGGTGGGCCGGTGGCGTTAGTCTCGCCGGAGAGAGGCACAACAATGCCGACGTGTTGAGGAAGGTGGCGGGGACGGTGACCCGTGGGTCTACCCCCGAAGGACCGAACTGGCAAGCGAGGCGGCTGGATTGCCGGAAGTTTTCCCCGAGGACAAGCACCTGTAGATGACGAAGGGAGTCGGATAGGTTTCTAGTGGAGACAGTGGAGGTTGCTCGTTGACAGTGACGAAGAGCACGTGCTCTTCAGAAGAAGATTGCATCCGGCGGGCGGGTGCTGAAGTGCCATGAGCAAGCTCTCGTTAACGAGTTTATATCGGATGCGCCGTTCACGAAATGATTGCTGTCGGAGCAAATAGTTATTTTTCCGTGGGGGCTGTTTAAGGTGTTTGTTGGACAGATTTTACTCTAACTGCAGGGAGCGCGTGCTATAGCCAATTTCGACTTCTGTGGTCGAACACGGGACTTGTTCGATAGACAATTCAGATTCGTCCGAATATCTATTACACCCTCTAGCTTACCTCTGTCCCACCGAAGATAGGCCCATGGTCCGGCAAAAGCGCGCTTACGGACACCAAAGCCTCGTAGACGTACGTTACGCCGCTCGCCGTGTAGTCTCGCCCTGCGTTTTGAGACACCTCAAGCGCGACGACGCCTCCAACCTCAGTGGAGAGCCCTTTCGTGACCTCTTTCGCGTGTCCCGCGGCGTGCGAGCCGACCAGTCCGGTCACGTCGACACCCACGAGGGGAAGGTCCGTGGTGGCGAAGTCCCCGCTCCACTCCGTCGCCGAGTGCTCCGGCGCCCACGTACGCCGCCAGTACTCCGCTAGCTCCGAGTCGGACGCGTTGAAAGCGACCGCCGAAAGGGTCACGCGGAATCTGGCCAGCGATGAGGAAACCCCGAAACCGTCAGGAGCTGTTTTCCCGATCCCGGCCTTCCATAGAATGCTGCTGCCGTCGTCATCGCTTCCGGTCGTCGTGGTGACGGCTGCATCGATGACGGCGGGCAGAGCCTCCAGTGCGCCTCTGACGTCACCAGGGGATGAATCGAAGCTGAGCAGGTGAGTTGAGGCCACCGAGCAGTAGACACCGGCTGCGCGCTCGTCGCAGCTCTGCCCGAACCTTAGCAAAAATCCGCCGCCGACGCCGTCTGCCGTGGAGTTCCTCACCGACGAAAGGTTGGCCTGACGTGAAGCTCCGGCCAGCACGGCATCATCAGGCAAAAGGTTCGTCGTGTTAAGGCTAATCTTGTGCCATGTTTCGCTGAGCGCCTCTGCAAACAGAACCAACCAGGTGAAACCCCCGCTAGTAGCAGAACTTGTCGGGGACGTGACGGTCGTGCGCTCCACGTAGACTCGTTTCCCGGTAGCTTCCAGCAGGGCTTCCGCAAGGTCTGACGACGAGGCATTCCACCGCACGGGCGAAGAGGTGGAGTTGGAAGTGGAGGCGTTGTTGGTTGCGTCGGCGAAGACGAACGCGAAGGTTCCGCTGTAACCGTCGATCGTCACCCCTTGCACGTCCGCGGTCACCCCTTTCGACGTTTCGTTGACGTACACGCCGACCCCCGCACCCGTCAAAGAACTTGACGACCAGTTGACGCCGATGGCCGGGACGTCTCCCGCGGCGGCCAAGGCCGAGAAAGTCACGCTCCACCTCTTACCGGTAACGATAACGCTTCCGTCGTTGCCAGAATTTCCCTGGACATTGCTGTCCGATGAGACGGTTACGTTTCCACCGGACACCGAAAACGACGAGATCGCGGCAGCAACATCGTCATCGCTGGCATTGTGAGATAGAGACACCCAATGTCCCTCTTTTTCCCCCCCGTCTTCCGCAAGGCTCACGTTGAACTCCCCACCGAGAGGGGCGGCTCCCGCCCGCACAAGAAGAGCCTCCGCGAACGTTTCTCCCTGCCCAGAGAGATGGGAAGCGTTAACGGTAAGCTCTCCCACGACGCTGGCGTTACTACCCCACAAGCTGGTGCCCTCCGGAAGCGTCACCGTCCACGTGTAGGCGAGACTATCATCGAGCGGACCGACGCGAACGACGTCGGTGCTCTCCGGCAACCCGAGATCCTCCACAAGGGCAACCCTTAAGTCGGTCGCCGACGCGGCGGCACGGACGGTGGTGGTCGCGTTGTCCGGACCCCCTCCGAGATAGACTTCGTAGCTCCCGCCGAGGACCCGTTCTCCTTCGTGAATAGTCTCTACGTCCGCTGCTGCGCCGCTACCCGCCAACTGCGCTCTCACGGCCCGCAGCGGTGGACGATCACCGGATTGTCCGGTGGCGACATAGTAACCGGAGCCAGGAAGCTCGTCGTCGTCTTCCACGGGCGTTTCTTCCAGCTGGCGGTGAGGAAACGTGATCTCCCAAGCGATCGGGCCAACCGTCGGCAAGGAGGCGTTCACGGAAACGTCCACCGCTCGAACCCAGGGGATTTTAGCGGCGGCCAGCTCCACCTCGGCTGCCGTAGACCCTACGGATATCCATCCCGACCGGTGCTCGGGCCATCCCCTGGGCGCGGTATCAGCTTGCAGCATGAACCGGCCGGTGGGCTCGTTTCCTGAGGTTATCTCTGCTACTTCGGCATGCACCCCGACCCCCGTGAGTCCGGCCGTGTCGACTATCATAAGAGGCAGGTTTCCTTCCAGCTCGCTGCCGGAAAAAACTACGCGCCATTCCCGTCCTCCGTTTGGGCCGCTGTCGGTGGCCGTGACGGTGACGTTGTCTACGGCCGGCAGGCCCTCGAGGGCCGCTTGGACCTTCGCACGAGTTGTTCGGACAATGCATCACAACAGCGGATCGAACGGGGAAATAGCGGTTATTGCTACTGTACCCACGTGTATTTTTTTCGGTTTTGGTTGGCATATCGATGTGCCACGTGCCTTCCTTGCTAGTGTATGGCCCCCTCTTCGATTTAACTGCACTGGTGTACTCTCCCTTGGTACGTGAGATAAGTCAAAAGAGTGAATGACGTTAGCAGTTTTCCGAAACCACGGCCGTCGTAGAGCGTAAGTGTTCGTCAAAACACATACCTCTAGCGCTGAAGCGTTGAACGCGATTTCTTGTGTGGTATTTCCACCGAAGCCTAGCGAAAAGGACCCGCCAATAGCTTCGCAAGAAGACTCCGAGACCTGCTGGGCATCGGCGTCTGACGCGCACTGGAGCTCCGGGGTCCGACCTTCCGAGTTTCCAACGAAGGTTACATTCCACACGCCTCCCCCGCTAGCTGATGCGCCTTCTTCGCTGGATACCCACACTTGTCCGAGCGCGGTTGAATCCACGCCCCCAAGGGCTGTCTCCACCGACGTGGCATTCGCGTCGAACGAAAAGGAGGGCACTGCGTAGGATGTTCCCCCCTGCCAAGCGGCAACGACAACGCACTCGTCGATGTACCCGGAGGACAAGAGGGAGGATAGCTGTACCACCGCTTTGCCGCACAGGTGCGACATCTCGAGCTGCCCATTGCTTCCAACTGTTGTGGAGGACGCACCAGCAGCCGCAGCCTCCAAAGTTGCCGCAGCCCCGGTCCCAGTGAGACCCTCATCGCCAACCGTCACAACCGGAGGAGTTGCCGTACTGTTAGGATCATTCCAGTCCAAAAACGTCACAACCCAGGAACGCTCTCCATTGTAGCCTTCTACTTCTGTACTCTCGGTGACGGTAACGTTGCCCGCGGCGGTTATGTTGTTCACCGCCGCCGACACTTCCTCCGCGCTCGCCCCGGCGTCGATGCGCGTGCTGGCTTCGCCATCGAGGGACAGGTACCAAGTTCCGCCGAGGCGTTCTCCGGTGCCAGGGGACAGGCGGAAGACTCCGATGGAGGCGTCGCCCGTGTACTTGGACTTCAGAGTTGCGGCAGGTGTGTCTCCGATGCTACGTTTGTCGCCAAACTCCTTCTCACCGCAGCAGGCCTGCTCGCAGGGGCAGGGGGGTTCCGTGGGATTACAAAAAGAGATATGGATCTGCACCCACGGTAGGTAGGTAGGATTAGAGGGCACGCCCCGCCACGGTTCTCTTGCATACGAACTTTAACTGTGCGGCGGGTAACAGATGTGCGTAGTGCGGCCGAAAAACATATGCCAAACCTCTGGTAACCATCCTATACACGTACACCGCTGCAGCAAAAACAATGGGACCCACCTGTAACAAGGGCTGGGGCCCTGCCAACCCTTCGAAGATGACATCCCAATCAAATGTTTGCACGTCGATGCTCTTGGAGAGCTGAGAGGAGGCGTACCAGAGCGTGGCGGCGTGGTCGGCCGGGTAGTAAGACAGACCTTTCGGCTCGCTGCGAGTTACCGTTACGTTGGCGAGACCCGGCAGCGCTCTCAAGGCGCTCTCGACCTGTACCAACCGATGACGTTTGGAGTACGGTGGCGCGTTCGTTCAGGTCATCTTGCGGGGAATACACAACCTCTATAGTCACTAGCGAAATCATTTGGATGCATCCATCCCGCTTCTGTAAAAAAAAAGAGGCCAGCTACCGCCCGCATTCAAACATCGAGAAATAGTGCGCTTCGTGCAAGATGAAAGCGGTGATTGTCAACAATCGGGCAGCACACAATTGTCGGTGAAGCCTAGGAGAAGACCTGGGCCAATTTTCACCTTCATACTGAACGCAGAAACTTCCATGCTACGAAACGGAACCGAACACGCTGGACTGCGTGTAAAACGTCACCGCCGTTGAATTATAGACCACTTTGATCACGGAATACCCGATGTATGTAGTGTTATCGACCGTCCCAACCCACCTCGTCTGCCGTGGCGTTGAACGGCAGCTGATCTGTTTCCGTCTCCGCAAACATGAGCGAAAACCCCCCGTAAACCTCGGAACCAGCCAGCGTCGACAATCGCTGGATCTCCGGCGCCCGGGCCATCCGCGTTTCGACGATATTCCCCGCTGCACCCTTTCCCTCCAGAGCGGCACCGTCGAAGCCGAGCTCAGGGGCATCCCTTGCAGAGACCGGAAACGTGATCGTCCATGTATACCCGCCTCCACCCCCGTCGTTGCCGTCCCAGAGCGAAGTGGTATTGGAGGAGTTGGTACGGCTGACTGAGATATCACCTGGCGTGCGGGCGCGTAGGTTGACGAGGAGACAAAATCGGAAAATATCGAAGACCTCGGTTTCGGTGCTTGGGACAGTGATGTGAGGTCGCTATGGTGTAGACCGGTCATGGTCCTGAATTGTATACATGAGAATTGGGTGGAACGTCTAGCAGTTAAGTACATCACACTTCCATATGCTTGAAATGTCAACCCAGGTGGAATAGCGTCGTCTTTGCAGTTTCTCGTCAATGACCGCCTGTCGAAGCGTGAAATGCTAATACTTCCACTACGCGCTCTCTCTTCTACTGTAATAATCATCTACGCCTTACACTCACCTGCAGCTGTGTAGAGAGGGAGCAGCTCCTCCACCGCTACCCTTACGTCATCCGATTCTGCGTTCCAAGCCAGACGCTGGCTTCTCCCCGTGCCGTTGTTTTCCCTGTCTGCCACCCCGAGGTAGGCACCTTGGGCATCGACCGGATAGCCTGCACTTGAACCGCCGTTGGAATAAAGATAGAACGATCCCCCCAGGCTGCTGCCGGCGGTGTCCTCGGATACAGCTGCGAGCAATCCCGTACCGGATAGACCGGACGCGTTGATGGCTAGGGAAGGGACGTCCCCGCTTTCCGCTGGGAACGTCACTGTCCACAGCGAACCTCCGTTTAGGAACTCGAACCGAGTTACGTCCAAGGCGTCGGGCATCGTGGAGAGCGACTCCAGGGCGTTCTTGAGCTGTTTGTCGGGGTACGAGGGAGTGAGGTTATCAAAGTACATACTTAATGATTTCCAAAGATGGTGCTACCAGAGTTTCATCTAGAGTGGCCTTGGAAACTAATGCAACATCATGGAGTCGGTCGTCGACAGGTAACTATAACATCAGGCCGGTCGTTCTGTACGAGGTGCGCTGCACCATCAGCTGTTGCCCCCTAAATCGGACCGGTATAGCTTTTCGGTTTTCACCTCCACAGTCGAAGCATCATGGGCAACCACCACGTTGTCCGTGTCATTCCCAGCCACCCTCAGGGCAAACGAACCGGAGACCCCCTCGGACGTCCCACTACGTTCTTCGTCCACGGCGACGGTCACACCGCCCCACATGGCGGAGCTGTCTACGGCAAGCACCGGGAGATCTCCGGCGCTGTTTAGGAAAGTCACGGTCCACTCTGGCACGCTGCTCGAGTTGCCTTTCGAAACTGAAACGTCTCCCACCAAAGAGATCGCCTCGAGGGCGACTCGTACCTTGGTCAGGGATGGCATCGAGCAGAGACGCAGGTGAGGAAGGCGCAGGGTCTTTTGTTTAGCAAGTGCTGCTGCACAGGCGGGACAGAGAAAAATGTCAGGCGTTGCACGTTCCGCGGAACAGCGGGTCGAACGACAGGAGCCCTGGGAAAAGGGCAAGGGTACTTCCGGGGTTTTACGGCCGGATGCGTGTCCGTGGACTATGCTCAATCGGGTCAGACAGCGTCGGCATGCCTCCGTCTGTTCCCCTGACACCGCGTGGAAGGTGTATTCGTGTATTCAAACGTCTTTCATAATATACCTCATCGGATGTCGCGTTGTGAGCAATGTCAGGCGTACTTTCACCCAGAAGGGAGAGCGTGAAAGTTCCTCCGGACGCCTGCCCGCTCTGGTAGACCCGCTGGATCTCCTGCAAAGATCGGTCAAAAAACAATCGGCGCGAAGTAGCAGTAGTTCAGCGCCTACCACCGTAGCATGTCACACGTTGACTGGAGAAGCATCTCCTCAGTTTTCTGAGGAGGGAAATAAGCACTACCGTCAGAATTCAATCTACGATATTCGATTGCAGTTGTTTGGAAAAGTTGATTGCATGTTGGTGTGCAGACATGAGGGCCCTTTTGGGTCCCTCGGTTCGGCGCTGTTCGGGAGAAAGAGCCGAGAAGGCACCCATCCAGCATTTTTCGGAACCAGGGGACTCGAAGAAGGTCCACGTCCTTCTCTTTCGATGACCAGCTTCACCGTGTTGGCCCTCTCGACAAAACAATAAAAACCAGCAACGACCTCATTCTTTTGGCCTACAATGGCACGAAGGGTACACATGGTAATTAGTTATTCCACGGGCGACCGCGCAAGTTTTGGAAACGGCATACCCTACCTGGACGCTCCCACGGGTCTCCTCCGTGACGATAACGGACGACACCACGCTGCCGACGTCGCCGTACCCGACGATCATAGCCACGTCCCCAAGATCGCTAGGGAACTTCACCAGGTAGGACCGCCTCGTGGGCGTCGCTTCTTCCAGAGAGACGGAAGAACTTCCAAGGCTTCCGGTAGGTCCTATGAGGTTGGTCTCGATGGAGGCCTGAACAACCGCGGCTCCCGACGAGAAGGGGAGGGAAGATGCAACCCCGCCCTCGAACTCGAGCGAGAACGTCCCACCGCCTGTTCCGTCGCCCTTGAAGAAAGTTATCGAGTTGGGGGGACAACGTTACGTGAACAGTGTTGCCGAAGATCAACCGCGAGAATGGATAAAAGCCACACAAAAGGGTAGAGCAAGCGTTGTCTTCGGGGCTTGGAGGGAAGGGCTTTCCCCGTGACGGATCGTAGTACTTGCAGAATGTACAAGTTTTGGTATTTATGGTCCTACGGATATGCCCGGGCAGTTGTATTGCGTCAGAAATTCGACTCCGCCTGTTGTTTGTTCGAGCACCACGGAGCTACCCAGTACATGCTACTCCTGCCAGTGCGTTGTCTATTTGCAACCCCACATTGTTGCAGAAACCACGTGCAAGCTTGCATTGACATTTGTTTGCCGTACCTCAACCGTTACAAGCTGCTTCTCGGCAACCTCTGAAGCCGGGGTGGACGCCAACCCGTTTTCGGCGAAAGCTTTCACGACGATTGACTGGACTTCACGCCGGTATTCCGCGCTCAGCCGCAACTCCTGTATCTCCGATTGCGACGTCTCGACGGATAGAGAAACGGTCACCTCCGCCGGCGCAAGAAGATCCTGGCATGTGGCCAATATGGACGGGGTAACCACAGGAATCATGTTTTCAGGCCAATGACGCTCTACATGATCGATCATAAACGACCCTCCCTTCTTAAGACGTATCATGACGCGGACTGGGTAGGAAAAACGATGCACAGTGACTTCTCTTGAGGCTAGTCGAGTTTCAAACAAATGCGCCCCCTTTTGGACAATAAAATAGGGGAAAATTGAACGCTCGGGTTGCAAATTGTTTCTACCGCAGAGTGTGACATGCTACGGACACGTACGCGTAGGTATCTGCTGGCTGCCAACGCGCGGAATGGGCATCAAAGCTCCTCTGGCCTGGCTGCACCGGATCAAGAACACCATATTCACAGACTCGGTTCATGTGGCAACTGGAGCCGTGCAGCCCCCGCAATCACAACACCGAGCAGCGGTACGACAGAGGAACCTAAATCCCGCAAAATCTGCTTGCGAGACCGCACAGCAGGTCGTTTCGAAACCGTAACCGCTCGCACACACCTGCGATGTCTTGATCATCTGGACTTCATCCACGTCGTCATACGAGACTGTCACCAGCTGCACCTCGGGTTGCACCGCATCGCTCCCCGTGGTGATGTTGAAGACCTCGCGGGAGGGAGCGTCCGCCACCACCGAGATTGTTTGGATTTCGGGGGCCCAAGCTAGAGTCCAAACCTGTTGGTAGAGCGCAAGGAAGCCGTCGCGTATCGGTCGAGAGTCTCATGTGTAACGCCAAGACGGAACAGCTCAGATTCTCATCGCGTCTAGTGGCAAGCGAATAAACCGTTCCCATTTATTTTGTGCACGACACTGCGGAAAGAACGCGGAGGAAGAAGCTTCTGCGTGACCCAGGATGGTGTGTCCAAGCATACCAAAAGGTATATCACTAATTCAACGCTATATGGGATGACGACCAAATACACAAAAGCTGCCTAACGACCAAATACGCAAAAGCTGCCGAAATGTGGGACTCCGCACCTGTGATTGGCCACGGGCAAGACAAGACAGTAGACTGGACTATCACGAGTTGGTACAATCTTGTGGTGGCAAAACGAGTTTTTTCTTACTATCGTGTTTTACCTCAACGTCTTGTTGCTCGGGTACCGAGGGCATCGGAGGGGCCCGACACGACATCAATCCAGCCGCATGCACAGTTGCGCCGACTTCCTGATCCCCGAACCGGCACAGCACCATCTCCTCTGATCCCTCCCCAGGAGGGCTCTCATCCCGGAACCCAGTGCCTTCGACTCGAACTGGATTTCCACCAGTGACTGGGCCGTACGTAGGTTCGACCTCGAAAACGTAGGCTTCCGGCCGGTAGTAGTACTGCGCCCCGTGGATCGTAAAGTCCTGGCCGCCGTTGAGTGATAGCTTAACGGTAACCGTGGAAGGGAGATTGTCCGGGGCAGGAGGGGACCGGCAGAGCACGCGCCCGACACCGATCTCGCGTCCATGGACGTCAACGGCAACATCCCAGTCAAACGACAGCCCGGAAGCCGCAACCAAAACGGTAGAACTTCCGGTCTCGTTGCCGTCGGCGCTGAACGAACAAACCGTGGAAGACGGCGACAGCTGAACAGGAAAAGAGGCGTTGTTGTCGAAGGAAGAGGATTTCATCGCCTGGTGCGAGAGCAATGCCGCCGCGGCATCCGCGATGTCGCGGCTGGAAACCTCTACGAGTGTTCCGCCTTTCACGGGGCCACTGGGCGGGAACAGCGACATCTCCCCCTCGTCCGACAGGTAAAAGAACTCCAGGGCTCCTTCGGCGCTGGCGACATCTACCCCAGCGACGCCCGTTCCACCTACCGGCACCCCGTTCACGGACACCGTCACCAGGCTGACGCCTCCGCCGGGGACGGTCGGGGGGGCGACGCACTCCACAGTCTCGTTGGAGACCACGGTAGCCGGGACTGACGTCCGGTTGAAGAAGCAGGCCGCCAGGGCGTCGCGGACGGGGTCGAAGGCGAATGCCCACTCTTGTTGTTCCGAGGAGGCGTTACCCGTCGAGGTTGTCTTGTTGTTCTGCCCCGAGGTCGTCGCTAGCGAGATGGAGACGATGGTACCGCCGATGGCAGGGCCTGTCGGTGGGCTCAAACTCCCCAGCAGGAAAGGGGGGTGGTACGTGAAGACAGCTATATCCTGGTCGTTGTCGGCCGAATACATGGTCTCGCTGTTGTCAGCGACGGTGGCAGAAGACCATTCCACCCCTCCGTTTGTGCTGACGGCAACTCCCACTGCTGGGCCGTAGCCGGCTTGGATTGTTTCGACGGCACCCGTGGCCCCCGACCCCCCGAGATGGCTGGAGTCTATGGACAGTGCCTGTGAAATAGGTTTCAATGAGGCGGCGAAGTGTGGTAAAGCCTAACCACGAATGGTCTGTTCGGAGACCGCGGGCCGTTGATATTTTCTTCTCTGAAACAGAATGACGTTCTTCGACTTGCTCTAAGATTACTATCGCTACGTATCGAATGAGCCAGCAAACTTAGGCCTGGTACATGCGTCAGGTGAAAACATATACTTGCACTAGCATGCTCGCCCCCTCCATGGATATCACAAATGCTCGCCAAACCTACTGTTCTACTTTAGCCTTGAGCGAGTGCTTGATCCCAGCATTGCCTGATCAGAGTGATCCCACGAAAGACAACTTCCCGGACTATTTGCACTCTTTGAATTATGTTATTGTCACCTGAACCTCGCCCACGTGCGAAGGATAGCCCAGTGCTGTGAACCATATCTGCCATCGCCGACCACCCCTTCCGTCTTCCCTGGAAGAGCTCTCGTGCAAAGTGACGTTCACATCACCGACTTCATCTAGAGCCTGGCAGAACCACAGAAGCATGGTACGAACGAGCCTTACTTCCTAGGGTACACGGCAGCGCGTTGGCGCTGGTCGATCCACGCGGGAATGATATTGTAACAAAACGCGCAAAGTTCGGCTGAGCAGCACCGGGTAAACACCTTCCGCGATGCAAGCTGTGGGGGTCATTGCCGACTGTTCTTTCTTCGACATTACCTTCAACGAAAAAGCATAGCCATCCAAACCATGTACTATAACTCTCAACACCGATACGATAAATCGTATGGTACTGTCTAGCGTGGCCCTCACCTCAAGGGCCTCCTCAACGTCATCCGCCGTGGCGTTGAAAGCCAGGGGCCAAGTCGCGTTTTCAGCTCCGTATTTCAGAGTATAGTTTCCGAAACGTTCATCGAAAGACCCGTTCACGGCGGTAAACACCGTTACCGCGGTTCCCTCGGGACCCGTGATGTCGTCGTTGAACACCTGAATAGGTCCCATTCCACACCATGCAGAACATTGAAAATGAGCTAGCCGAGGAGCAGTATAGGTACGGCATCAACACGCCAAACACTGCAGGGTTGTCAAATTTACATGTCATTTAGACACAGTCGTGGATATGCTTAAGGTATTATAAGTGGCAGGGTGATTCCGCTGAGCCACAGGAGTCGCCTTCGAGCCTGCCGTGCATATCCAATGCTGTCTGCGTGTTCACACCTGGAACAGGGCAAGGGCGTTGGCGCATCTCCAAACATTTGATCGCCGAACAGTTGAAGCGAGTGAATCTTTAGCGGAGCTGTAGGATACTCGTTGTTGTCGTCGACAACTTCCCAAGGTGACGAGCCACCACAAACCGATGCTTTATCTTACATCAGCAACACCACGGCAAATTGGCACGCCTTACCCTTAGCTCTTCCACGTCACCCTCAGTCGGAGAAAACGTGAGACTCCACTCGAACATGTTCCGTTCGTTGATGTTTGTGTCACTCGCTAGCAGATCTTGTCGATCCACGAGCACCAGCCCTCCCCAGTATCTCATGCCGTTAACGGCCTCCGCTACTTCCATTGCAGAAGCGTTGAAAGCCAGAGGGGTGGACACGTTGGAACCCGAGACAAGGGTGAATTCTCCCCCGACCGAGTCCGTTCCGTTGATCGTCTGCAGGAGAAATTCAGAAGAAGTTGAAACAGAAACGGGGAATACAAGTTGTCGCAGGTGTGCAGAAAGCGTTCCTTTCACTATCCAGGTTACAGAAAAGGGACTTCCAACATAGACCAGTTGACCTTTACAGCGGTGGCACGCAACCGACTGATAGCGTTACCAGGGGGGCTTTACAATTGCCATGATTTGCTCGCGTACATGGTTGTAGCCCCCACCGATATGTAGGCTTTCGCCGAACCGAATGCCACGATATCGCCAGCACACATCACCAACCTCGTTGACGTATGCCACGGCCGCCTCCAGAAGCACCCCACCAACGTCACCAACTGTAGGGGTCAGTGCCGATCCGTTCACTCGAAGCGCCGGAACGTTACCCCGACCCACGGGCCACGTCACAGTGAACACCCGGCCGCCATCCCCACCGTCCAAGAGCTCGACCTGTACGGTTACATCGCCAGCCCCAGACAGCGCCTCTATCGCCGCCTCGACCTCTCGAGTCGATGCGTTGTGCGCCGCCAACGGACCAGTAGATTCCTCAGTCCCGTCCCCGTCAAACGAGATCTCGAACGTTCCACCAATACCCGCCACCCCATCCGTCAACGTTTCCACCTCCAGTGACAGAGTGCCGCTAGTTGTGCGGGTTTCTAGAGAGGCGTTGGCGGTAGCGACCAGTTGTGGACGATCCCCGGCCCCGAGGTCGTCGAAAGTTACGGTCCACGCGAACCCGCGCACCCCCGTTCGAGAACGTGAGACGGTTACGCCGGCGCCACCGATGTCGTCGGGGTCTAAGGCTCGCATGGCGGACGCAAAAGCTTCTGCGGAGACGTCATGGGCCAGGGGCTCGGTCGAGCCTACGTCGGGGTAGGTGACCGTGAACTCGCCGGAGAGCGCTTCGTTGGCCGCAAGCGTTACCACTTGGACCTGACGCGGCAAAGATTGGCGAACCGTTAGACGAAGATTTCATGGCGCAAGGTTGTTGAACTCCCGCGGTGCTACCAACAACGGATTTCGCATCTGTCAACATCGCGTTCTCAAGAAAACGTTGGCCACCGCGATGGGGTTGAAACTACGTTCGAAACGCGAACGGTCAAATTTTTGTGGACAATTCAAGCATTCCAAGCGCATTACATTGGTTCGATACTGCCCTTCGCTCTCCCTTGGGGGATCAGAGCCCATACCGACATGTAGCACTGCTGGGACAGAGTACAACACGGATGGGCGGTTCGCGTCTTTGTATATAGGGTGTTTCACGTAGGCAACGCAGTAAAGTCACCACGGCAAACAGTCATTCCTTGGATCTTACTTTCGTACCCAAAAGTGCAGCAGCAAGGTCCACCCACCTCTGCCGCCGGCGACAGTCCCGTCGTAACCGTCACCGTCTGAACCTCCTCCACCAGGCTTGATCTGTTCGTTCTCAGCACCTGCACCTCGCGCACGATGCCATCGCCGTCGTGCCCCCGCTCCGCGACGTTCACCGAAACTTCCGGGGCGAGCACCGGAAACCCAAACACGTCTTGGTCAAACCCGTCCACGGCCGTGCCCTCCGAAGATTTCAACCGCAGATCTGAGACGTCTGCCGACAGCACCGGGAGGTCCCCACCTCGGGCGGCGAAATACACCGTGAACAACGTCTCGTTCCAAGAGAGACCAGCGTACGGGTCGGAGAGGGTCCGGTGCTCCGCGGAAACCGTAGCGTTGCCGATGTTCGGCATAGCTGATAGAGCAGTCGCCATCTCACCAGCGGTAACGTTTGCACCCATGGAGACCGTCGAGTAGTCCTCGAGCGAGAGCGTCCAAGTTCCCGATCCCGAGTAGTGTGAAGAGGCGTTTGGCTGGCTAGCCATCGGCGAAGGTATCCTCAGCAAGACTTCTTGTGTGGCGTGGAAAACGCGGGCGCTCTCCACTTCAACCGATACTATCGCCGCCACGTTGGTGTGAGATGAAGAGGTGCACGAGACGGCGCTGTCCGATATGTACTGGGCAGGGGCGGGGGGCGCAAGGCCGAAGCGGCAAAATAGCTCCGACTCGTCGTACCCTCCCTCCGGCGGAGAAAGCCATGTCCCATGCACGACCACCGAGGTTCCGCCGCCATCCCCTCCTAGCCCCGGCGATGCAGCAACCACAGTTGGTTTAGGGAAGTACGTGAACGTCAACGGGGCCGTGAGATCAACCCCACCGTTTCCCGACAAGCTCACGAGGGCGATCGCATCCCAGTCGTTGTCCACCCAGTCTTCGATGCTAACGCCGGGGAAGAAATCCTCAAGAGTCGGCATGTCGCAACCGTAACCTTCTTTGTTCGAAACCATAGTGACTTCCGCGGTATGCAGCGAGCTTGATAGCTCTACAGCAGGCGCGGAATACGTGAGCGCTGTGTAGCCGCCGGTGATGTTGCTTGGAAGGCGGACCTCGATGACGCATGAAACGTCGGCAATTCCCACGGCTACAAATGAACCTCGGCCGATGAAGACGGCCGTTGTGTACACGCCCACATTGGACCCTCGACGGGGAGAAAGCGCCTGCAGTGTGACGTCTTCATGGAACGTGAACGCCGCAGTTGTGGTCGAAGGAGAGACCAGTGCCGGCCACCGCACGGACACGGACATGGCTCCCGTTTCCCGCAGAGGGGTGAACGGAGACGCGCACGTGACCGTTGTGGAGTTTAGCCGAGTGGCTGGCGATTCGAGTCTACCGCCGAAGACACACACAAAGTCGTCACCGTGCATGTCGTTGCCTGATGTCGAGGGGAGATCAAACCCAGTGCCGGATAAGAAGACGGCCGTGCCGCCTGATGCCGGGCCCGAGCTCGGCGTGACCGATCGCACCGTGGCTCTGTCTTGATAGCGAAAGGCGGCCGTGGTGCTGCTGCCCGTGCCGTCGGATCCAGTACTCGTGTAGTCCGCCCCGCCGTTGGCGCTGACTTCGACCTCGCAGCAGCCGGCCGATATCTCCTCTACCCTCACGCCCACGGTAGTTCCCGTGAGGAAAGAACCGTCAGCTTCGAGCAGCGGGAGGTCTCCGATGTTGGCGGGGGTGCCCACCGTAGTGAATTCTACCGTCCAAGACACTGCCGTTTCTGAGGAATTTTGATCCACGGTCGCATCGGACTTTTGGGGCGTTTCGGCAACCACGGTTACGTCTCCCACTTGGGGAAGAGACTCCAGTGCCTGCTCGACAGACGCTGCGCTGGCGTTCCAGAGGAGAGGTTCGCTGACGTCACCGTTGAACGCAAGGGTGAAGGTCCCTCCGGCAGAATCCGCGCCGTCGGTACGGCGATAGACCTGTACGCTGCCCTCAGTTCCGTGCAACGCTGACCACGCCACCTGAAAAAAAAAAGCAAAGGGCGGGGAGAGCGGGGGGTTCCGTCATATGGTACTCCATAGGTTAGACGAATGTCTCTCCTCGGGTGTTCCCGGCGTTGTGGAACGTGTTGCCGATCCGCTTTTTTGGGTGAGTGGTTGCTCCTGTTCTCCCGCCCTCTTTCGCGTCGAAGGTTGTTTTTCTGTGCATGCAACACCCCTCTGTATGCAGCATATTTCTCGTGCCTACGACACTCGGTCGTTTCAAAGGGCTGGACGGTCCCCACGCTGTTTTCCGAGCAAGAGTTACAAAGATTTCGAATTTCCAAATACTTTTGACAACAAGCCAACACGCAGGACTTCTCTTTTTCACGGTCCTCGATAGTTGTACGTTGTTTGGATGAGGCCCAAACACTCTGTGCCTATCACCCACTTGGTGACTCCCGGGCGAACACTCACACGCGTGTCGCGCGTTGCCCACATAACGCGTCCCCCATCGCCCAGCACAGAGCAACTCACCTCCATCAGATCAATATCCCCATCCAGATCTCCCCCGTAAAACACCGAAATCCATCGAAACCCGGCCTCGTAGTCCTCTCTCCACACTTCAACGCCATTCTCATCGTTTTCACCGCCAGCGGAAGCAAGGAGCGCGCTGACGGCCTCTTGCATTTCCTCCGCGCGCGCATCGAACGGTAGCGCTGAGCCTTCCAGACCACCGATCGAGAGGGCAAACTCGCCGCCCCAACGCGATCCCGGGTGCACCTCGCCAACGGTAGTTTCCGCTCCGGTCCCGTTAAGCCCCGCCGCCGACGTCGTCAAAGACAGCCCTCCAATGGGAGATGCCGCCCCAGATGCGCCAGTAAACGTAACGAGATAGGTGCTGCCTGCGCTCCCATTCCCGCTGGGCAAGAAGTTTACGAGCTCAACGTTGGCAGCGGCCACGCTGCTCAGCGCTTCGAGAGCCGTCCGAACCTCCGTCGCCGTGGCGTTGTGATCGAGAAAGGCGGTAGTTTCGACTGCCGTGCCCCACGCCGTGTCGTCCGTCAAATCGTTATTGGACGGAATCGAGGACGAGACCGTGATTGCGAACCTGCCGGAGAGCGGGGCACCGCCGGCGGAAGCCGCCAAGAGCTCCGTCGTGCAGGTGCCCTCGCCCGTGTAGGCGGCCGTGACGTTCGCTCCCGCGGCGCAAGAGAAGTCGGCGCTCTCCATGGCTCTTCCGGGGGTCGAGTCCCATGACACGTCCCAGGCGCGGTGGTCTCCGGCAAGGCGGAGATCGGCCGCTCCGACAGCTGCTACGCTTGGGTACACCCCGAGCGAGGAGAAGTCTTCGCGGAGTATCTGACAGCAGGGGAAGAGAAGAGGCGGAGGTTGTACGAGATCTAGAGTCAGATCATGTGAATTAATAAGCAGCAGAATGTTGCGATTCGCCCGACCGAACAGCTGTCGAACCCTCAGAACTCATCACCAAAATGGAGAAAGCTTTGCTGGTGCACATACGCTTCCCGAGGTTCGAAAGTACCGGCACGGCGTGATCATTCGAACGACAAAGTACTCACGTCCTGCAGATCGTCGGCCGACACGTCCACAGAAATCGCGCGGGTCACGACGCCTTCAAGAGACGGCGCAAACGTTCCCGTCGATTGCAGCGTCGAAAGCGCAGCCACAAGCACGCGGTGAACCGCCGGGCTTGCCGCATCGGCAACGCGCTCGACCGAAACCAACCCGCGAGTTGTATTATCGTGAGCAACCGCAATGAGGGGCGCCCCGCCGGCGCGGGCGACCAGGGAGTAATCGTCGAACGTCAACCTCCAGATCGAGCCCCCGTCCAGTAACTGCGTGTGGTCTACCGTGATAGAGCCCCATTCGTCTGGTACATTGGAGAAACGAAACGGTTGGAGGTGCACCGCACGGAATGAATGAAAGCGGAAATATTTGATACAGGCTGCCTTGGGGTTTCTGGACATTAACCCACGCTATCCTGTGTTGGGAGAGATGGAGCGCGTTTTCATGTAATAGTTTCATTCCAACGCTCTGAGAGACTCGGAATTACGGTACTGGCAACGGTACTGGCAACGGCAGCATGGCATTGGTAACTGGATACTCTTAAGGGTCGGTTCAAGACTAACTGTAAATTAATACGCCGGCAGCATTTTTGTGATACGTCCTTGATGAGAGGTGGTTCGCTTACCCTGTATCACGTCTCCGAGCGCCTCGACCAGGCCGGCTGCGCTCGTGGACGCATTAGCGTCATTCTCGAGATCGACGTCGAAGACATCGAAACCGTCAAAACTCAAAGAAAAGTTTCCTCCGATACAGCAAATAGCCGACGCTTCCTGCAAGGTCGCCGCTCCTACCGAAGCCACCCCAACCCCCCCGTTTGTCACTGTCATCGTGCCCCGCTGCCCCGAGCTTGATCCGTACTCCACCGTCGTGCTGTTTACGGAGAGCTTAGGAACGTTGGCTGCGAGATCTAGGAAGGTGACAGTCCACCTGCAAGAGAGCGGATGATGCCCCAGTCAATAATCGACCAGGTAGGGGGGAAGGAGGGAAGCGTTGGAAGTGGCATGTTTCGTGCTAGTGGGGAGTTGGCCTCGGGAAATTGTCAGCGGATACGGAATTGCCGTGTTTTCGAAGAGGGACGAACGAACCACGAGCCCTTTTTGAGCGCACCACCCATCGTGCCCACAGGGGAGCTTACCGTTCCAGTGTAGAATGGAGAACATCGTAAAACCAAAGTGTGTATCGGAGCTCCACTTTCTTTCACGAGCGTTTCCTTCCCAAACCGTGGATTCAAACGCTTCGCTTTTCGAAACAAACGACAGTCATACCCTCTTTGCGCAATCACGCCGTCGACTACATCCCATGCTTCGAATCGTCTCGGCCATTTCCATGTCACAATTATGCACTGAAATCCAACGTTCTGAAAGCGGTTGTCTGGAATACACCCACCTGTACGACTGAAGACCCTCCGCTCCGTTTGCCTCTCGCGAGACGTCAATGGTTCCAACGGAAGCATCAAGGGAACCCTCCGCTAGAGATATTATTGCGTCCTTCATCTCGTCGGCAGAGGCGTCGTGCGCCACGGCTAGGGAAGCACTTGAAGTAGTATTGGCCGCCTCCTCCATGGTAGAAGAGACGTTCTCAAAGGAAAGCATGATCTGTAAACAGCACAAGAGATTGATTTGAAAGGACGATTTCTATGAATAGCCCTTCGCCCCAAAGGTGGGACGCTGCCACAGGCGGACAGGTTTATTAGATGACCGTCGAGACACATACCTCTCCGAGTGTCTCACGAGAAATACCTTTGGCCGCACGTATTTGCAGCGCAACCCTTAGCGACAAGCACCAACAAGTAGGTGCGTTTCTGTTCTACGGAGCCACCACCAAACAAAACAGTTTGTTGGGCAAGTTCAGTGCACTCCGGTAACGTGACCTGAGGGTCGTTCTAGCATACAAAATCCCTGGCAAACAAGGCTCCCAATCAACTAGAGCACGTGCATGGTCCTCTGAAGCACCGTTGTTGTTCTAAAGCAGTAGAACCCGCACCTTTCCGGACAGCGACCCTAGCGTGCCGCGATGTACCCTGGAAACGTTGAGCTCCCCCCCGATCCCAAGGGTCCCTAACCCGAGCCCGTCGTCACCATTCTCTCCTCCGGCGTACAGCAAAGGAAACGATAGCATCGCTGCCGCTTCGTCGATATCCGTATCCTCATCGCTGTCGACACTGCTGTACGCCGACACCACCGGTCCGGTGAACGTGATGCTCCAAGCGTAAAGGTCGCTGCCATCCCCGTCTTCGCGGGCGACGTCGACGGTCCCCACGTTGACGAGCGCCTCGAGAGCGGCTTTCACGTCTGCTGCAGAGGCGTCGAAGGCTAGGTCATCGGTTTCCTCTGCTCAAGCACGTTTAGCGCGACAACGAGAGGTCGTGGGCGGAGGGGACGGTTCGGGGTTTGAGATGAGATTTCAAAGGCGTGATTGAGTTGCAGTGGGAAAGCGGACTGTCTCCAAAATCGACTCCCAAACTGATTTTTCCGCCCGCGGGTGAGAACCATGGAATGGACGAGGGGGGCGATACAGCTATATTCGGACAGAATCTCGCTCGATGGCGGTACCGTTAATCCATCGTCTCTGAGATTTTCTGAGGGTTAGGGTGGCATTGCAAGCCCGCCATGGACGCATACGGCCGAGAATTTAGTGTGGGACGCGCGCAGCACGCGGTGAGATGCGACGGTACGCGCAAATGGCCCGGTGCGTATCAATTGGCGAAAGCAGAGTACTACGTTGTAGGATACGCTGTTGATAAGGCACGGTGTTACCCAGTCGTTCCCAGTATGTCTTTGTGAAAGACGCTTCCCCCACCTTCGACAAACCCTAAGAAGAAGGTTCCGGAAGGAGTTCCCGTAGTTTCCACCTTTTGCACCTCCAGCTGCGTGCCTGTCACCGCCTATTATTTCGAAAGCGCAGAAACGGACACCATCATTTCAGCCCGATGCAGAACAGGACGCACAGTGCCGGACAAACAGGAGAGGGCCGCCAAACGAGTTCAGCAGTGCTAGTTGATCAAGCAACAGCGAGTGGGCTCCCCTATCTCGACGGCGCCCTGAAAAACAGTGACCAAGTCACCGTGATGCCAATCACAACCAAGAAGAGACCCACACACACACTTGGTCCGACGATCATCCAGAAAGTCCAAGATCGTTCTTCATTCTGCGAACACGTGTGCGCGTCTGCTCGATACCCCTCTATGGGGAAACCAACACAACTTCAGCAGACACATTGTTGTGCGGAAGTGGTTGGATCTCAAGTTTTGCCGTGTTCTGTGAAAAACCTTTGAACGTGTAAGGAGTTTTCCCAGCCGCGAGAAAGGACGATGCCTAGTCGGCAATAAACTATTCAAGACATTTACGCTCTGTACTCCACCTCATCAACGAGGGCGAAGGGAGACGTTCCCCCCATTCCTCCCGTGCTAACTTCGAAATGCTCGTGATCGTGACCCTCAGAGAACATCACCAACCACGAGCTTCCTGTACGGCCGAGGTGCAGACATGAAGGGAGGACCACGTACGCCGCATCCAGATGAGAAAAATGGGCTGCAAGTACTAGCGCATCTCTGTGCCGTTATTTTTATGTAGAACCAAAGTCGGTAGGGTAGGCTGGCGAAAAGGACGAACGTGCACAAACTGGGTTTGGAGGTTGTGCATGCCTGCAGCGCAGATATGCACGCGGTCCCACGACAGGTAGCATGCACGAACGAAATGAACTTTGATTGTTGAAGGAAAATCCCGTAGCGTTCCAACCAGGCATCCTAAAGCGTAGGTGGTCCTGTCCCTCCAAGTATCACCTCCGTTTCTTGCCCGTTGCAACCCGGTATCTGACGAAACATCTACATCCTCGAGAAATCCCCCGATTGCACGCAAGGTCGCCTGCACGTCCGAGGCACTGGCGTCCACGTCAACAGTGGCAGTCTCCGAAGCCTCCAGCGTCCCATCCCCATTGGCATCGAACGCGAGGTCAACGGTACCCGATGCACGACCACCCCCGTGCCGCATCCCCGCCTCCTCGGCCGGCTCTCCTCTGCAGGATTACAGGCAGCGTGCATAGGGAAAATGTTCTCGTTGTGTGGCCTTCGACGACTCAACGAATACGAATCACGTCTGAAACAAGCCGCGTAGAGGGGTATAGATGCTAATGAACACATTGGCACATTGGTTGCCGCACCCCACTAAACTCCGGACAACAACTTGAACGTATTGGTGTACACTAGCTCCCCCCCCACCGCCGGAGTCCGGAGTGAGAAAAACGCACCTCTGCGCCTCCCACACGCTGATGGTGGCCGAATCAGTCGGCCAATACGCTATGGTCTCTTCGTTGGCGTAGCTATTGTAGCCATGGTCGGCGTCAACGGTGCGAGAGAACGGGGAAGGGTCGGGGATGAGCCCTTCCCCGTCTGCCGTCAGCAACGGAAGGTCGCCCGCTGAGCCTACAAAGGCGACCGCCCATGTCCGACCCCCTGGGGGGTAGGAATTTGGGTCCGTCAGGTTGACCATCAGCCGACCCACGGAGTCAAGCTCCTGCAAAGAAAACCGAATTGGGTGCAATGCCCGCCGAGGAGTTCAGATTGGGCGGGAATGAAACAGCTTTGAGAACGTGGGGTTCTGCGAGGGGGCGCCACAACGACAAGGAGCGTTCCTTCCTGTCCAAAACAGGTAAGTCCCTACACTTGGACGGAGCTGTGTGCAAGCTGTGGAGAGGGTGCGTGCTATGACTGACCGAGGTGCATCATGACCGACATGGGTATTGAGGAACCAGCAGGCAGATCAGAAAAGTATCGCGCGACGGATAACTCGCAGGAACCAACAGTGATACCGTCAGCTTTGTCATTCGAAACAACTTATCAAGCAATTCCGCATGCTCATTCAAACCGGTCCCGACTTGTCTGACGCACCTCCAAAGCGGCTTGGAGCGTTGCGGCTGTAGCGTTCCACGGGATTTCAGCGGTTTCTTCCCCTCCGTGGGAAAGGGTGAAGGTCCCTCCGGAAGCGCCCCTTGTAGACACTTCTTGGACCTCACAGGGCCTTCCTTTGAGAATCTATTCAGAAACGCGGAGGGAGGGAGGGGAGGGTTGGAGTGTTGTCATCCTGTGCTTGATTGCTTCGGACATGTCACTGCCCGTACATATCCGGATCCGTGGAGATGTCCATCATCGTTTTAGAATGTCTCCCGAACACTAATGGTGAAAAACACGCTTAGCGTTCTCAGAGTTGGGGGTGGGGGGAGAACAACAAGACGACGAGTCCCTCAGGGGCTGAACGTCGCCGGGCTATGTACTGTCCTCTTCCTGTTGGCGACACGCACAAACACACACGTTGCCGCAGACTTCCAAGCACTGGAGCTCACGATGTGTGACCTAAACAATTATCGTGAGTAACAACTCAGGAAGGCGAAATTCACTGGCCTACTACTCATTTGGCTCTTTTGACGCTTGGTGAGTCTGCCATGACAGACGGCAGTTTGGCTCTGCGTACCGCGCCGACAGCGGCACAACAGCACAACTCGCAGGGTTGTGGACAGAATTGTCGAAGCAGTACTCAAGCGTTCTGTCAACGCCGGGCAAGGTTAGAGCAAGCACCAACCCCGCCAGAGTGAGCTCACAGGCGCGGGAACAACTACAACAAGCAAACCATTACCCGTTCAACGTTCTAAACGTCTTTGTTTTCACCCGGCGGGTTTCGGTGGGTTGGGGGCGTTATAGTAGCCTGGAACGTTCTTCGACAAGGATATTACGGTGGATTGCGGTCTACGGTTCGCCTGGGGAAACTTGATGCCTAGATGAGACTTGTAACAATTTCTAGAACTAGACGCAAGCCGTGAACAATCCTCCCGTAGGCCCATCCATCCCACCGGTCATCACACAATGTGAGGATTCGGGGATGGTGCGGAAGCGTGTCCACTACGACCGAGAATAGTAAACCCACCTCTGTCACCGTTGCGTTGAGTCCGACACCCGATAGTTTGTCGGTCACCACCGCGAGCGCAGCCAGGTCGCCAATAGCATACGCCATAGTAACATTGTACCGCGTCCCTTCCAGGCCTGAGGCAGCGTCGTAGAAAGGCTCGCGAACAACGATGCCCCCTCCCAAACTTGGAACTCCCGCCAGCGCTTCTTGGAGCTACGAGGAAAGTGTGGTTGCAGCGATTGCGCGAGCGTGCAATATGTCGTCAGTCATTCTCGTCCATTGCTGCTCTGATGAAAATGGCCAATGTTGGCCTTGTGAAACCGCCCAGAGTGTGTGCTGCGGAATACCTCTTACCTCGTCCTCGGTGGCGTTGAACGGTACGGCGGGGGAAAGGTAATAGCCATGCCTAACGGCGAACGACCCGGACAGGGTAGACGGGTCCATAGATGCCACCGTGATCTGCTGGACTTCGCTGATGTTGGCCGAAGCATCCACCGTTATTCGCTGCACTTCCCGCGCGAGCTCAAGCGAGGAAAATATCACCTGAATCGAAGGCGCATTCCAATAAAAGAGACACATGTCCGTTTCGAAGGATCATATCAGCTCCGGTTTCGACCAAAAACAAATCGGCATTCAACTGATGACCGCCAAACATGTGCAAATCGTGCACAGCGAATCACAAGCTTGCCACCGGCGAAAAAGACTTGAGCTCACCCGACAGCCTCCCCAGCCCTCGTGGGCTGCAACGCCTGCCTTTGGAAATCTGTACATACGAGCTGCTACTGTCAACAACGATTCGTCTTTCCGTGATTGTGAAGTTCGGTCACCCTGATTCGTACCTGTATTTCTGTCTCGTCTGAAGCAGGTGCCGCGACGGCCCTGATCTCTTGCACCTCGTTCTGCCAACCCCGACCCCGCACCGAGATTTCATAGACGGGATCACTCTCCGGCAAGGCAAACGCTTCCACAACCTGAACCTCCGGTCCACGGTTCGAAGCGTGGACAGACACCCGTTGGACCTGCGACAACATTTTGCGGAAGCACACAGAGAGTCAAAGAATCGATTCTCAGAGGAGGTCGACTCGCACGCCCTTGATTGCGATGAGTGGTGCTTAACCTGCCGTGGCTCGCGGAGTACCCCTCACGTTCGAGAGGCATCGTCTAGTGTCATCTGCGTTACGTAATTGGTTGCATTTCAGTGCATCATGCGTGCGTGCCATTCGTTCTCTATCCTAGTAAAACGCCTTGACAGCCCCAATGGTGGCTCACCTCGCTTCCCCCGACGTCCCGCCGAGGGTCCACTGGCGCTTCACAACGTACGGCATTATTGTCTCCCCCGACGACAGGCTCAGCATTGACGGTGCTGCCTCCAGGACCTCCAAACCGGCACAACAGGCTCCCTTCCGTGAAGCCAGGGTATGTACCGGCGGAGGTCAAGTTAGCCCCAGAAACGGTCACCATTGTTCCTCCAGAAGTGGGGCCGCGATCCGGGCTAACAGAGGAAATCTGCGGTGTGGGGTAATAGGTGAATTGCGCCATCCTCAGGCTGTAGTTCTGCCCGTTTAACGTTACCGCCACTCGCACTGTGGCCCCACTAGGGGGAGAAGAACCTGCGGCTCCGGAAGAATCGATCCATTCGAGCGACTGCTCGGGCGCGCTGCACACCACTTCTGTGGGCGACACGAAGGTGGCTCGCACATCAACGGCTGTAGCTTCAAACACCTCTGCGGTTGTTCCCGCTCCGAGCGGCTCGTCAACGACGCCACCATCTTGGTTGTGGTTTCCGTCCAACATCCGTGAGTGGGTACCGCCGAACCGACACCCCAGCTCCGGAACATCTTGGAAGCCGGACCCGGTCAGGGTTACCCGCGTCCCGCCCTCGGCAGGGCCGGAGGTAGGGAAAGCAGCCAGCACTACGGAGTCCTCCGTGAACGTGAACTCCACGGCGCTATTGGTCCACAGCGACGGGTCTTCGCCCGGTTCTCGTACCTCGAACGATGAAGTATCGCTTCCTACAGACGATGAAGACGAATCATGCGTGACCGTTGTGCTCCCTAGATCCGACACCTCGAGGTAGACGCGGCCCGCCGCTCCAACGGGGACAGCCGGCGACACGCAGGTCACCATCTCCGTCGATACAAACACGGCCGCGCTCGTCACGAGGTCGCCGAACCGGCAGAGCAGGCTCGACGAGCCAGCAAAGTTGACCCCCGAGACAGTTACGACCGTGCCCCCGCGGGTCGGGCCACTGTCCGGCGCCAGGGCTGTGACGGCCGCGCGATCGGTGTAGGTGAACAGAGCCCCGCCCAGGTCTTCTCCAGTGGCATCGAGTGGAACCGGTAAGGCCGGTTGCCTGCGCGAGGAAAAATCCTGGCCGTTGAGAGTAACGGAAACCAGGACCGCAGACACGCGGGCTTGAGGCGGGGAACGGCACGCGATCGTGTCCCCGCGGATGTATTCCGCCGCGCTTTCCTGCAGGCCGAACCGGCAGGCGAGTCGCTCGTCCGGCCGGAACCCGGATCCGCGGACGAGAACCCGCACCCCTCCCGTCGCCGGCCCTTGGTCGGGGACGAGCGACAACACGTACATGTCGTCGTCGTACAAGAAGGAAATTGACGAATTCACAGGGACAAAATCAACTCCGTTCATGGATACTCGTAGCTCGACTCCTTTCTCCGCACGAGAGGCATTCATAAAAGTGTACTTAGGCGCGGAATGGCCGGCGGAGGCAGTAAGCGAGCTGGCCGTGCAGACGAGGGTCCCCGAACTGATTACCGTTGCAGGGGTGGGTTCTCCGGCTCCGAACTGGCACGCGGCTTGGGGGAGATCAATGAAGCCAGACCCCGACACGCGAACGACGGTGCCCCCCGAGGCAGGGCCGTTTTGTGGGCTGACTCGCCAGATTTCGACGTCTTCGTGATACCGAAAGGACAGATACGCCGTCGAGATGGGGCTTGCATCGCTCTGTTCAGCTGTTGTCGTCTGAACGATGTCCGTTTCTCCTTTGGTGGAAGCAAGACCGTACACGTAGCTCTCGCTAGGCGAAAAAACGTCGTCGTAGACAGCCAACACCTGAAGGGTAACATTCTCGCCGGCGGGCACCATCGGCGAAAGGCACTGTATCGCAGAACTGTTGACGACCATCGCTTCAACCGACGGTAGCTGTTGCGATCCAAAAGCGCACGCGTACGTCTCCTCCGTGCGAAATCCTTCCCCTAGAATGGTCACCGTCGTTCCGCCCGCGGCCGGGCCGAGTGCAGGCCAAGATGAGAACAAGCGCAGGTTACTGATGTACTCCACCTGCAGATCTCCGTCGGAGTTTAGCAACTGGTCATAAGAGAAAACGGAAACCCCTACCAGCCCCGGTTGTCGTGGTGGAGAAAGGCAGGTCAGGAGTTCCATTGAATGCCTCGTGACCTGGACCGATACAGCGTCATCTCCACCGCCAAACTTGCACGCCAGAGTGCTGGGGAAGGTATCCGGGAAGCCCGAGCCCCGGACGGTGAGCACGACACCCCCGCTCTCCCGAAGTACCGCAGGGGACAGGGATTCCACGAATGGCTCGCTGGCATCGTAGAAGAACAAGGGGCCGTCGGAAGAAGGAGTGAAGTCCCTCCCGTTCGACGAAATCTCGACAAAAAATGAACCGCCCAAACCTGAACCAAGCGGACACCGTGGCGTTTGTACGATGAGTTCTTCGCTGTTCAAGTATCGCGCCGGCACGGTGACAGTGGTGGCGCCGCTCTGGTTGTAGTCGGCCACGGTGACGGTTGCGGTAGTGTTGCCGCTTCGGCCCGAAGTCCCCGCATACGCGAAACGCGCGACCAGCTGCGGTGTGAAGCGGAAATCGGTGCCGGTAATGGTAAGCGTGGTGCCTCCCCGCACGGGACCCTCGTAGGGTCGGATTCCAAGCACAAGCTCGTCGCGATAGAACTGAAAGGTAAGGCCTTCGTCCCCATCGGCACCCTTTCCTGCCGAGATGGTGCCGTCCATGATCATGAATTCAACCTTGCGTTTGGTGTTGGAATACCGTAACGTTACGGTTATCGGGACAATCCCTTCCATAGGCACCGCCGGCGAGGTGCACTGAAGCGAGCTGTCGTTGAGGGTACGGCCGACAACCTGCGGGGCAGGGGGGGGCGGGTGGACAGAAGGGGGTAGCGAAGATCACATATCTGGGCGCCGTCAGAGAGAGCTTTTTCGTGAGAGTAGCGACAGTTGACGGCCAAGATGATGTCGGCATGGAAAGTAACAGGGACGATGGGACCCTACGAGGTTCTCTCACGTGAGGCATTGTCAACGTAGGGTGCTCTGTCTGACTGTAACAGCGTGACCTTGCGCTGTAGCGTTTTACCTCATCGCAGGTCGAGGCTGGTCGTCTTGTACGCCCTCACGCACATGACTGCTCACCTCGAGGTTACCAAAGCTGCAGTACAAGGACCCAGCTTCATTCTCCTCCAAGGAAGAATCCACGAAGCCAACTCCGGTGATCGTCACAAGCGATCCTCCGCTCAGCGGCCCAGCAGACGGGCTTAGCGAGTACAAGAAACGATCAGGCTCGTAGCCCATACCAGCGGGTACCGTCAACCATTCCGCCCCCCCGTTCAGGGTGAGCTCCAGCGAATAAGAACCTGGAGGCATGGGCGGGGCTTGGCATCTCACCGCCGACGAATTCCACAACGCAGCACCGACCACCACTTCTCCTCCGAACCGACAAGCTTCTAGACCGGTTCTGGTGAAATTATACCCTTCCATGGTGACGACAACATTCCCGGACTCAGGGAGGACGGTGGGCTCGACGGCTATCACCCCCGCAGCCGGGATAAACGTGAACCCAGCCGTGGCCAGGGGGTCCACAAGCCGTTCGTAGACGTTGTCGGTTATTGCCGTTGCCAAAGCGTCGTCGTTGGTCACGGCACCCGTCACGACTTCGATGAAAAAGTCTCCTACAAGGTGGCTATCTGATGCCGGAGTCACGCAAACCAGGTGGGTGGAATTCAACACTTCTGCTTGGACGACGATTAGCGGCTTGTCGACGATGCGGTCACCGTGCGTGTCGTTCCGTTCACGAGATCCGAACCGGCACAGGGTGGCCGCCGGGACAAATCCTGTGCCGACAAGTGTCACCTTCGTTGCTCCTGCGCCCCTTCCGTACCTTGGGAAGGCGCTGTGCACTCGAGGGCGCCCCGCTATCGCAAACCGCACGGAGTCCTCGACAGGGTTGAAGTCCAAGCCGTTGTTCGAAACTTCTATCCGGAGCTCGACGGAACTCCCCTCATCCCTGCTGTCTTCAGCCGCGACGTACGGAGCTGTGAACGTGGCGGCCGTGCTGTTGATGTAGTCGAGGAAAATCGTGTGCCACTTCTCGCGTTTGGTGCCGGGACCTCTAGCAGTTGCCTCGGCGGAAGAGTGACGACGCCACCGCAAACACAGCAACGAGGAGTCAATGAACCCCGTGCCTCTGAGGGTAACTTCAGCCTCGCTGGTGATGGCGGCATACGCCGGGACAATCGACGTAACGTGCAGATCCTCGCGATACTCCAGTAGAGCGGTCGATGCGGAGACGTCCGCCCCGTTGAACGAAGCAGAGATCAAGGCAAATCCCGGAGCGTGTGGTGGAGCAACGCACTCAAGTACAGTCGAGGACACTCGAACCCCTTCAGCAGCTTGGGCGTCTGGACCAACTAAACACTTGAAGCCGTCCTTGGCGTCTGGAAAGTTCCGCCCTCTCAGTGTCACTGCCGCTCCACCAGCAGCGGAAAGCGTGGAAGGGTGCGCTGAAAATACCTCGGGCGTTTCAAAGTACACAAACACAGCCTCGGACACCGTGAAGTCTGCCCCGCCGTTGAAAGACACCGTAACGCTGACGTCTTTCGATGAAAACTCCACTCCTCCCACTAACGGCGGTGAGATGCAGAAGACGTCATTCCCTTGACCCCGTGGTAGAACGATCGCGGCATCCGTAGCGGCTCCAAAACTGCACCGGAGATCCGGTTCTACCCCCGCTGCTCGCATAAAGGAAACCTCTTCCTGAACGCCCGATAGCGTCACTCGTGTGCCGCCAACCATCGGCCCGCTGTTAGGGGTCGGGCTGGTCAGGACCGCCTCTCTGAGGTAGAGGAAAACGAGCGGGGTCGGGGCAACCGCCATCTCCCCGGTGCTTCCGCCGTCGAGACGCCTGGCGACGGTAACGGGAACCAACCCGCTGGAGTTCACGCCTGTGTTGACGAACCCGGGAGGCGTCCGGCAAACAACGCTTCCGGGCGACATAACGGTGGCAACGACAGCCACCTGCGATTCGCCAAACATGCAAGCAAACCCGTACCCACTAGTCGTGATGTTCCCGCCTAGAACACCGTCGATGCCAAAGCCAGTCCCCGTGACGGTAATCTCAGTGCCTCCGGCGATCGGCCCAGACAGGGGAGCAATGCCCGCTACCGTCAGTTTCGTGTCCACCGCCAGCAGTTGAGATGCTTCGACGAAATCGAAGCCGTTGAACGTCACCTGGACCGATACATCCCCGGGTGGAAGAGGTGGGGCGACGCAACGCATTGCTGTAGATCCCAACCAGAGGGCGGGGACGGTGGAGTTCTCACCGCCTCCTCCGAACCGACAAGCGAGATCGGGAAGATCGGGGAGGTTGCTTCCTTCCACAAGGATGATGTGTTCTTCCTGCTCGGTGACCCGCCGCGGGACGACCGACGAAACCTCCATGTTGGGAACGAAATTGACGAAGAGGTTGGTTGGCCTGAAGTCGTCGCCGGTGGTGGCAAGAAAAACGTGAGCAAATCCGCGCTCTCCTGGACCGAGTCCCGAAGAAGGGACGCTGCAGGCGAGCTCTCCCTCGGAAATCACGTAGGCGTAGGAGGTTGCAACCGGCGGATCTGGGGAAGAAGCTTGTTCTTCAGCCGGAGTGCCCTCCACGAAGCGGCACCGTGCGTCCCCGCGACGTGGGAATCCGGAGCCCTTGAGAGTGATCCGCGTCCCGCCGGTGGACGAGACAAAGGCGGGTGACAGGGAGATAACCCGCGCCGCTTCCTCGTACGAAAAGATCTGGTGAATCACGCACAAAACGCGGTTGAAAACGAGCGCTGTGAACAAGCGTTTCGTTGGCGATAGTACACGACTCGTCACGGCGTAATGATCCCATGTGGATGTCGCCATGAAGTAAACGTGAAAGTGACGTAACATCGGAGTTTAGCCCCGGTACGTGCAGCATGATCATTCAATTTGTTGGCAAAATCTTCATACACACGGTCAGCAGTTACGGAGATGTAAGGCAACTTGGCAGTGGAATTTTTCTTGCCTTTATGGTTCTCAGCACAGGGCTACTCCATAGATATTTGAAAGATATGTTTTCGCTGGCGTTCATCGATTGAAGAATTCAGCTACAAGACCCAATATAGCACGAAAAATCAAGATTATCATTCCAATCCGAAAATTAGAAAACTTCCTGCCACACTAAGAGGGTATGCAGAACTGGCTTAGGAATTCAGGCACAAACGGTCCACCCTAACGTACCAGAGGTGACCCCGGCGGCCCTCGCTCGAAATCGGCCCCGCTGTTCACGCTGACGCTGACCTCCACTTCCACGGGGAGTCCAACGTTCCAGGGCGGCGACAAGCACTGCACCCATCCGTCCGAAAAGCGGGACCCTATGGTCACAATGGAGCCGAACCGACACCAAACTGTTTCCGTAGCAGCGGTTGTAGCAAGACCCCCACTCGCAGCAGGAAGGGCAGCAAAATTGGCCCCGAAAATATCCACGAGCGTTCCTCCCGCCACTGACCCGCGATCTGGATTCAAGCCCGACAGTTGTAAGCTCGGAACAGACGTGAAGGAGCCGCTGCCAGAAGTAGGAAGGCGTGCCACAGCTTCGCTGCCGAAGTCGACGAAAACTTGCACGTCCATCGCGCGGCCCACATTGTTCTCGGATACGACAGGCGGCGCGATGCACGCAAGCTCAGAAGGGGACACGTAAGCTGCGAGTGCTTCCACTCCTACCGTCTCCGCTGCCGTCTCGCTCTCGACCACCGGCCCGCTCGGCTGGAACTTGCACGTGAAGCGGAAGTCGCTGTTGAAGCCCGTGCCAACAACAGAAACGACTGTACCCCCCGTAGCGGGGCCGCAGCGAGGAGATAGACCGGTCACGAGGGAAGGTGCTAGGTAGCGGAAGTGGAGAACCGATGCCAATCCAGACGAGCCTTCCCCCCCAAAGGTCACGCCGCCGTCTACCGACACCGCGACGCTGACCGCTCCCGGTTCGGCTTGCGCGGGAGCGGAGCACCTCACGACGCTAGAGGACCCGAAGGAAGCTTCGACGACACCGGTTTCACCGAAGCGGCACAGTAGCAAACCCGTGCGGTTGACAAAGCCAGTTCCGTACACCTGCATCGCGTTTGACGTAGCAATTAATGTTGGGAGTCCAACGTTTTGTTGGTACACCCAGTTGTCTACCTTCGTGACGTGGGGCAACTGAACGGCCACATTCAGCAGCCTTCGCGCCGTGCGAGGCCCAACGATTGCTATCCTTTGTGTTGGCATGTATTCTTTGTCTGTTTGGATGGTTGCTCACGCCACGCTGACACAACACGTTTTGCTTCGAAACTCTGCCTGCTTTTTTACGCCGTGACACAATGCAACCTTTGAACCACGTACCTCAACAGGCGTCTCTATGTCTCCAGCCATGCCCCTCGCCGGCACCACCTTGAAAACCTCCGGCAGGGCTTCCAGATCGATAATTGCTCCGTTGTTGTGGTCGAAGTCGACTCCGTTAACCGAAACTGCCACCAGCGCAGGCCCGACAGGAAGAACTACACCACCCGTCTGGCAAGATACTTCGGTGCTAGAAATGAAGGTTGCCGGAGTCATGATGCTTGTGCCAAACTCGGACCATTCCCCATCAGCAGCATCACCGCCCCCATTCGTGGCCAACGGTGTGAAGTGGCATGCGGAGGAGGGCGTGTCAACAAAGTTTGTGCCGATGGCTGTCACCGGTGCTCCGCCTAGAGACGGGGATGCAAACGCCGGATCAATACGCGTAACCATCGGCTGGTAGACGTACTCAAACGTGGCCGCCGGAGCCGGCGGCGAAAAGTGGATACCATCGTTAGAAACCGCAACGTCGGCAGTGTGGCGTCCGGATGCCTCAGAAGCTGCCGGCGTCACGCACTCGATGACTGAGCTCGAGATAAACCTGGCTTTAGAAAGCACGGTCGAAACGTTTTCCGTACCGCCAAGGCCAAAACTGCAGCCCAAAAGCTCGCTGGATGCAAAACCCGAGCCCCATATGATGAGGCCTGTACCGCCGGTAGTCGGGCCCATTTCCGGGGTGACGGAAGATATTTCCGGAAGGGGGTCGCAACGGAAGCCCACGTCAGCCTCAGTCCAGTGAGCGCCGCCGTTCAGCGACACCTCGAAGATCGTGAGCCCGCTGAAATCGCCACAGGAGACCGGGCAGGTTGCTTCATTGGGGCTGAGTACGACACCACTCGTTGTGGCGTTGTTGTCGTGCGGCCCAAGTCGGCACAACAGAATTCTAGCTTCTTTTTCACCCGCCAGAGTTGCGTTACCGCGTTTGGCGAGGTTAGTGCCGGTCAGTAACACGGTAGATGCTTGCCCGCTCGTCACTCCTCGCGAGGGCGCCAGAGAAGTTACTGCTGGCTCGTTGTAGAACACGTACATCGGCTCGGCGCCGGCACCTCCAGTATGGTCGTGGTCACAAGCTCCAAAGTCAACGCCGTTGTTGGAAAATCGGACAGGCACAGACAGCGGTGTCGACAACGCCCCCAACAATTGCGGCATTGCTGGTGGAACGCACCTGACCTCGGTGGCCGAAATTACCTCGGAAGCGGCTACAACCATCTCCCCGAACGAACAAGAAGGCCTATCCATGGTCGAGAAACCGGTTCCCTCTAGAAGGATCGCTTGCTGTCCTCTGTCCCCGCCGCTGACGAACGGACCGGAGGACGGGCTGACGGCCGTCACCGTCGCCGCCGGGAGGAACATGAAAGCGCTCTCAGCACCGACGAAGTCGACCCCGTTGTCAGTCACCGCGACTTCGTACGACCCAGGGCCCACGGGTCCCGTCGCAGCGCAGGAGATTGAGGTGGGGGATGCGAACGCCGCCGGGTACGTGGTGCTCCCGATGCGGCATCTCAAGGAGCTCCTATCGCCGGACCTGAAGATTCCCCCAGTGATGCGGATCTCGGCCCCGCACTCAGACGACCCCGACGAGGGTGCTACCTTGGTTATCTGCCGAATAGGTTACATAAGGGCACACGAATTTGCGGCGTGTTAGCGCGTGAAGCACGTAATACTGAATATGCGTGATACCGATATTTGCTAGTGTCAATGCAAAGGAACAGTAGCACAGTAGATATTGCATAATATGCCAGCAAATGTCCGCGCTAATCCGTGGTGGGCACCATCACAATTGATAACGCACAGTATCCAGGAGAACAGAGGTTGCGATCAATGAGTACTACTGGAGAACAATGAAAAAAGGCGAAACGCCATTGCGAGAATATATGTCGTTCACGCTTACCTTTGGCTGAGGAAGGTACCAGAACGACAGCCCTCGGTTGGCGTCAAAGTCTCTTGACTGCGACCACCTGCGGTTTGAAATCTCCACCAGCGCGTGACCCACACCCGTCGAAGAGTTCCCAACGCCATGTGGATAGACGGAGGCCAGTGAGGGCGTCAAGCAGTGCACCTCTGTCGTCGACACAAAGCTCGCGGAGACTTCCACCACCTCAACAACACTGCCTCCATCTGTTGCAGCCACTCCAAGGAAGCGGCAGGTGAGACCGCCATCGTCGGTAAAGCCTTCGCCAGTAACATTGACTCTCGTTCCGCCCGAGGTCTGGCCGTGTGTGGGAAACAGCTGTGAAGTCGTCGCGCGCACCCTGTACTCGAAAGTCAAGCCGTCGCCGTTTTCATCCGCGATATTTACGTCGTTCGCAAAGACGGACACGTGCGCGACTCCTCCGTTCTGCCCGGCAGGCGCCGACAGGCAAGTCAGGGTCGAGTCCGACAAGACGTCAGCCCGAGTCACAAGCACCTCCGGCGGATCGAGCCCCGGAACCGCCCACTGGCAGGTGATTCTTGTCCTTTCTACGCGTCCGATTGCGTCAAAGCCTGACCCTTCGATGACAACAGGCGTGCGACCACTTGCAAGGCCCACGCCGGGGTCTATCCGAACAATACTCGCTGTCGGTAAAAAGTGGTGGCGTATCTCCTGCGCTGTGTAGTCAACGCCGTTGAGAGTCACCTCAACGTGTACCGTACCGGGCTCCGACTCGGCGGGTGTGAAACACTGGATGTGTTGGCTGGACACGAACTCAGCGGGTCGGCTCGAGTTCGCTAGACCGAAACGGCAGGCCAACGTGGGCAGGTTAAGAAATCCTTCACCCGTCACGGTTATTGCTACCTCTCCTCGTTCCATTGAAGCTTCCGGGGTTGCGGAATGAATAATCGGTACCTGCGTTGTTCGATAGATGATGGGGTCATGGTTGATGGTTAAACATGTCTTGGCAGATTGTCAGGCAGGAGTGGAGGAAACTGCTCCACGCTACACCAACACCGCAGAGGACGCCATTCGAAACAGGGACAGTACACACGTACATATAAGCACATCACGGGCTCTGGACATTACGAGCAACACCATTATATATACCTGTGCACAATGGGACCACGAGATAGTACCACCGCTGTCTTACGAGAGATTTCGCACAATAATGGTCTCACCTGAACGTATGAAAACATCAACGGTGGCGACGAGAAATGCACCCCTCCGTCTGCGCTCACGGCAACTTCAACCGCCGTGAAGTCGTCGGCACCAAGGTCAGGAACCTTGCAGGTCACGACGTCGCTCTCTGCCCTTTCACCGAACCTGGAGGAACCTTCCCACCCTAGGGCCGGAGAAACTTGGTGAACAGCTGTGCCGGACGAACTCCCCACCCGACACAGAACGGGCCCTACCCCTGCAACAGGCGTGAAATGACGCCCAAAGACCGACAGATGAGTTCCTCCGATTGGTGGCCCAGTGCTTGGGTGTAGCGCCTCAACCTGGGGAGCCTGATAGTACCGGAACATCAGACCACCATCTCCTACGTCTTCCCACTCTTCGCCGTTTATGGTGACCTGTACAAGTACGTTCTTCTCGGACGACGAAGGTGGAGCTTGGCAGGTGATCTGCGCCGGTGACTGCAGGGTTGCCTTCACCACGGCCCTTCCGAAACGGCACGCAAGTTGTGCTGTTGCGGCGGGAAAGGTACCCCCCTCGACCGTCATCACGGTTCCGCCGGACAGAGGACCGGCCCTGGGATGAAAGCTCTCTGGTCGGGCCTGGGGGTGGTATTCAAAAGTTGTTGCCGCAGACGGCGCGGAAAACTCCAGGAGATTGTTGGACACGGAGACCTCCACCTTGATGGGGCCGTCCGGAGACGGCGGCGCCGTGCAGCGGATCACATCCGAAGACAGAAACTCTCCGGGAGAAGCCGCAAAGGATCCGAACCGGCAGCTGAGCGTCTCCGAAGGGAGGAAGTGACGTCCCACGACGGTGATGACCATGCCTCCGTTGACTGAGCCTACCGCTGGGAACAACCCCAAGACCTCGACAGGCTCGTAGTATATGTACTGCCGGCCGCGGGTGGTGAAGTCGGCGCCATTTAGACTCAAAGTTACCGAGACAACCGACGGATTTTCACCATCGAAGAAGGTGGCGCCGCTTGAATGCCTTTCGCGAGGAAGACGCGGCGGGGACGAGCAAACTGCCACGCCGGGGGATGCGCGTAGAGCTGGCGACCTGAGTATTTGGCCGTTCTGCTCGCCGAACCCGCAGGTTAGTGTGCTGCTTGAGTTTCCGAAGCCGAAACCTCGCAACGTCACCGGCGTGCCCCCTGCGGTTGATCCACTCCGCGGCTCTACCGAGGAAATATACACTGTGCCCTGGTAGTGGAATCGAAGCCCGAAATCTCGCAAGGAGTCCGTGGCAGCAGCAGCCATTGCCCCCGACACTGCTGATGCCAAAGGGGACGGGGACCTGAAAGCGCGAATCTTTGCCACGCCAGGTGGCTGAGGCGGAGATTTGCACCGGAGACGCCCGCTGGCCAGTTGTGTTGCCGGAACCGCGACATTCTCGCCAAATACGCAAGCCCATGGCCCCGTTTGACTCAAGCCCGTTCCCGCTAGTAATACCTCTGTCCCACCGTCGACAGGACCCGCGCTTGGCTCGTTGCTGGTCAAAGTGAAGGCCGACAGGTAGGTGTACACGAGCGGCGATCTGGCGGCGAAATCTTGACCGTTGTTGGAGACGGTTAGGCTGACTTGCCGCGGCCCCGTCGGCGACTCCGGAACCAGGCACGAAACCTGCTTCGAGGAGATAAAGGCCGCCGGGGTGGCATCCTGTCCGCCGAATTTGCAGCTAAGCGACGTCGAGGGAAGGAAGTTTTCGCCTGTGACGACCGCCGTCACGCCGCCTTCCTCGCCAGACTGGGACGGACTAACGCTGAAGAGGTGGATCGGTGGCACGTACAAGAAGTTCATCGGGGACGCGACCCTGTCAACCCCATTGTTGTTCGTAAGCTCCACGCGCACGGTGGCGCCCGTGGGCGACGAGTCGCCGAGAGGTGGCGTCGGGCAAGAGAGCTCGTCGTCGCTGTGCACGGTCGCCAGGGTCATGTGAGCGCGATCTCCTCCAAAGATGCAAAGCACCTTGCTCTTACCACTCGCAAAGCCCGCCCCGTACACCGAGACAGATGTTCCGCCGCCGATCGGGCCGCTCATCGGCCAAAGGTGCCGGATATCAAGAGCCGGCACAAACGTAAAGTGCACCGTGCTACTGTTCGTGAAGTCAATGCCGTTGTTGGACACTTCCAGCGGCATCGCCAACGAAGTCGCTGAAGTGGGTGTGATGCAGCGTACGCGCCCGCTGTGAACGAACGTGGCAGGCAGGCGGCGTCCCGCCAGGCGACATGACAGTCCCGTTGAGTTGACGAACCCCGTCCCATCAACCTCGACCACGGTTCCTCCCTGCTGAGGCCCAGAAGAAGGCGTGATGGCTCGAACGGTCGACTCGATCAAGTACTGGAACGCAAGGCCTGTCTCGATGAACTGTTGCCCGTTCACGCTAAGCCTCAGGATCGCTGCCCCCGGCATGTGAGGCGGAGAAACGCACGTCACGGTTGTCGAGTCCATCCACCTCCCAGGCACCAGCGTGCCTAATGACCCAAACTCGCACATTATCGAGTGTATGTCAACGAATTCCATGCCTGTAACGGTGACCACAGTTCCTCCTGACTCTGGCCCTGCACGGGGCCACGCAGATTCCACGCTTATGTCCGGACTGTAGTAGAACGTCCATCCATCGGACGTATAGTCTACGCCATTGATGCTCACCTTCAATGAAACGGCGCCGACGCTTTGGTAGGCCGGTGCCACGCACAGAGCGTCGCCACTGACGCCTGCCACAGCCGCAGTGACCACACTCTGCCCGAATCGACACAACAGCTTCTTCCCACTGCCGGCCGCGGCGTCTTCGAAACCGGACCCGCTCACCCTAACGACAGTACCTCCGCTCAACGGACCGACTTTCGGCGAAACTCCGGTGATCGTGATCGGAGGGAGGTAGGTATACAGGACGCCGCTTGACGTCCAGTCCAAGCCGTTGTTGGTCACTTCTACCATGACTTGGGTCGGGAGAGTGTCACCCTTTGGTGGGGACGTGCACACGACGCTCGTGGAGTCAAAGATGGCGTCAACGCTAACGATACCGTCGTCTCCAAACCTGCAGAAAGCGGTGGTCGAGTTCAAGAATCCCGTACCCTGCACTCGAACCATCGTGCCGCCGTTGCTTGAACCAGACGAAGGCCACAGCGTTGTGACAGTCGACGTGCTCGTCACCAAAAACGGCACTCCAGAATCGGAGGCTTCCACGCCGTTATTGGTTACATGCAAGACAGCAGGGCCTACACCTCCCCCCTCCGGGCTTCCACAAGAAACCAAGCTGTCCGAATGGTAGACGCCAGCTGTCTCTGTCTGAGTCACTTGTTGAGTAGTAGCCGAAGAAAACACAAACACACACGCCAGAGCACTCATATCCGTGAACCCTGAGCCCGTCACCAACAGCCTGGACCCCCCGTTTTCAGGCATCGAGGTGGGGTACACGGAGTCTACTTCGATGGGCGGGTGGTAGTGGAATCTCACGGCTGACGAGCTCATCTCCACCCCGTTGTTGGTGAGTCGCACGTCCACGACCCCAGCGTTCGGCGCCGGAGGGGTGACGCAAACGAGGTGTCCCGTGGTTTCCACCACGGTATCGATCTGAAGCCCGTTGACCACACAGCTGAGGTTTCCAGCGGCGCCGAACCCGACCCCTTGTACGCGCAAGGTGGTGCCGCCGTTCATGGGTCCACCCGTGGGATCCACAGAAAGAAGCTCAAACGACGGCACGTACTCGAACATCACGCCCGGGCCATCGCTGTCTGTGAAGTCGACGCCATTGTTTGCGATCCTAACCGGTACCGAAGAACTTTCATCGTTGTGGGCCCCCTTCTCCGCCGCCGGTGCCCGACAGAGGACTAGTGCAAGATCGAGGTACTCAGCATCTCCGATGCGGTCGCCGAAGCGGCACGCTACTTCCGTGGAATTGACGAAACCTGCCCCTGTCACGGAGACTACGGTACCCCCGTGGACCGACCCGCTTCGCGGTGACACGGACAGCACGGCCGCCTGCGGCTGGTACGCAAACACCAGCCCTGCATCGGCGAACTGTTGCCCGTTCGTGCTGATCGCCAATCGTACGCTCCCCGGCCTCTGTGGAGGCGTATCGCACACAAAGGAAGTGCGGCTCACCCAACGCCCGGAAGCACGATATCCCGCCGCCCCGAACTGGCATACCACCGTTTCTGAGCCTAGGAATCCCGGCCCCGTGATGGTCACCTTGGTGCTGCCCCCCTCCGGGCCAGTCAAAGGATAGGCTCCCGTCACATTGACGTCCGGAATGTAGTCGAAGCGCCAGCCGCTGTCTGTCACGTCCAGCCCGTTTTCGACGACCTCTAGAGAAACGGACCCCGGCCTGTCGGTAGCCGGAGACACGCAGAACAACTCGCCACTGTCCACGGTGGATGCAGCCGTAGCTGGGACTAGCACCGACCCGAAGCGACAAGAAATATTAGCCGTGCTTCCTTCGCTGCCGCCGCCGCCGCTACTGCTACGGCCGATCCTACTTGCGGGGAAGTTGGACCCCACCACGCGAACGATTGTGCTCCCGTTCACCGGACCAACCTTCGGGGTGATGCTTTCGATGACCGCGCGCGGCCGGTATGCGAATACCACCTTGGAAGTGGTCCAATCGACCATGTTGTTCGAAACCTCGACAGCCGTGATGCTCTCGTCGCTCTTTTCCCGCGGTGCTCTGCACACCACGATCTTGTCGCTCTTGTACTCTACGGGGGTGACTGTGGTATCCCCGAAGCGACATGTCAAGCCGGCCGTGTCCACAAAACCTTCGCCTGAAACGTTCACAAGCGTTCCCGCAGGCCCGGTTTGAGGGGCTAGGCTTGAAACCATCGGCGTTGTGTAGTACGAAAACTCTACCCCAGGAGTAAGGCTGCTGCTGTTCGGTGCCATCTGCATTGAGGCCCGCTGAACTCGCACCACGGCCATCATCGCCTCTCCCCCAGCAGTGGAGTCCGTACTGTTAGTCTCCTCCCCCACTATGGGGAGAGGAGGAGTGGTACAGCGGACAGACCCTGGACCGTCGTATTCCGCCGCAACATCCACCAACGCATCCACGCCAAACTGAAACGTGCACACGAGCGGGTCGACGTCGCCGCCAAAGTTGTCGCCGAACACTTGCACGACGGTGCCTCCCGATGAAGGCCCAGTCCCCGGAAACAACGACCCCGCACGGGGAGTCATCGCAAGCGCAAGCGAAACGCGTTTCTCAGACGCCGGAAAATCGTAGCCGTTGAGGCTCACGCTGACCGCCACCACACCCGGGGTAGCGTTAACGGCGGGGAGCCCGCATGTAATCATGGTGGGGCGAACCAACACAGCCAAGGAATCGCCGATGCCAGAAAATCTGCACGTGGTATTCGTCGCCAGCAAACTTCTTCCGCGAGTGCCGTCATCGCCTCCGGGTTCCTCCAAGTACTGCGCGAATCCGGTCCCCGAAATGGACACGACCGCGCTACCACTCGCAACGTCCTCTGTGCTGACCACGCTGGGGGAAACGGCGGAAACCGTCGCCTCCGAGACGTACAAGAACTCGAGTTCCGCGCTTGAGTAGCTCACACCGTTGTTGCTAACCCTAAGCGCCACCGTTACCGGTGCGGCGTCGCCACCTTCCGCAACGACGCTGTCCTCCAGCTTCGGTGTCCGGCAGAGAACTTTGCCCGCGTCAAAAAACATTCCGGGTGAGGAGGTTGTCCCGAACGCGCACGAAAGGTCCGACGAGTTGAGGAACCCTTGACCAACAACCGTGACCGTTGTGCAACCCGACTTCGGGCCAGCCGAAGGAGTAGCGCTCACCAAGATGGGGGCGTCAGACAGTGCCAAATCCGCCCAAGATCCATCCGTGTCCACGCCATTGTTCGACACCCCGACTTGGATTATCGGCGGCGCATTTTCCCCCGGAAGCGGTGTAAATGCTGAGGAGGTCATTCCTTCTACGACGGATGCAGTCGTGCACATGACTGCTTCTGTTGACAAAAACCGCGCTGGCGAAGTCCATAGAACAAGGCTTTCGACGCTGCCGGCAGAGGTGGCAGCCGATTGATTGGTAGCTGTGTCGCCTCGACGAAACACGCATGACAGCAGCCCGGACGGCGAGAATCCGGTGCCCGACACAGCTATCTCGGATTCCCACGCTAGCGGTACGCTCTCGGGGTATACCCCTGATGACGAATCGACACGCGGAACGCCCGAGGGAAACAAAAAAAACATGTGATAATCACTTTGCCCTTTATCAGAAGGCGTGGTAGCTTCATTTGCAACAAATGTCCTACGAACCTTTCTCTGTCTTTCTCTTTCTCTTTCCCTTTGCTTCTCCCTCATCTGCTCTCTTCCTTTCTTTTTCTTGTTCTTTTTCTTTTTCATTTGTTTTTGTTTTTCTATATTTTTCCAATCTAGGGTTACCTCGCATAGCGTGCAGAGAGGCGAGCGGAGTGGCCTAGACTATCTGTCGTTGACTTTTATTGGCTTGCGGACCCTTCGGGTCCATTTTATTTTCGTATACCTTTTCTTGGGTAAGTTAGCCTGTGACCACGGGAATCGACCCCGTCAAGTGTTAGACTATAATAGTACGGACAGAAGAAGGTACTGGGCAGAGAGAACGGAACGGTTTTTAATGTGAAGACAACAACAACAACAACAACAACCATTCTTGCAGTGGATCTACGACTTCCAATACTCTGGAGCCTCGCGCAACATTCCAGTACATTCACACCTCTCAGTCACATCCTCCGTGAAAATCACACGCGAGACTGCAAGGTATCCGACAGCAGTAAACACCATTGGTATGCGCATGGTTCTCACCGGTGGTGCTGGCAATCGGTAAAACTTGGAAGGATACCGAGGGAGACCAGGAGTAGTCCACGCCGCCGTTCATGGAGATCTTCACATCCACGGATTCCCCTGCGGGCGACGAAAAGTTATCGCCAACAAAAGGTGGAGATCGACATCGCAGCTCCGCATCAGACACCACAGCCGCAGACACCGTGGAGTACTCCCCAAATTTGCACACCGTCTGGCCAGAACCCGCGTTTCCCGGCGTACCGAACGTAAAGCCAGAGCCCTTTATGACCACGTCTGTGCCTCCAAGCTTCCCGCCAGCGGTTGGCGACGCATCGAGGATGATGGGCGTATCGTAGAACGTGAAAGGGAGTCCTGCGCCGCTGTCGCTGACCGCCTGACCGTCGACCAGCAGCGTAACCTCTAAGATGCTGGTGTCGCTGGAGGCGACGATTTCTTGACTACTGCTTGCTGGCAATGCCGTGGACGCCAAGGGCGACGCGCAAGAAACGTAAACACGGTGGTTCGCTGCTTGTGCATCGTCAGCGACGGAAGATAGCACCCCTTCCGTTGAAACGTTCCCTCCCCACTGGCAGCTTATCTCAACGCCCACATCGGTTGCGGGTATCCCCCACCCATCAACCGTCAGTGTGACCGGCGTTCCTCCGGTGCGTGGGCCTGATGACGGGTCAATGCTCGATAGTTCTGGGGAAGTATAGGCGAGGAGTTGAGCAGCACTGGGTGACGGGTCTACCCCGTTGTTGACAACACGTACTGCGAGCGCCGATGACGTCCCCGCCTCGACGTCTAGAGCGGGAAGCTTGCACCGAACCAGCTCGGACGACAACCACACCGCAACAGTCGTAAAGGTGTAGTTTTCCCCCTCCGTTTGGACAACAGGATTGTCTTCGGCCACCCGCGAAGGATCATCATAGATCGAGACGGCTGCAGCCGATTCGTACAGACACAGGAGGAGCCCTCCAGCAGGCAGGAACCCTTGGCCAGAGACGATGATGTCTCCACCATTGAAAGCGGGTACTGTCATCGGCGTCACCGAAAATACCTCCGTGTTGGGGTAGTAGAAGAATCTCGATTCCGATGTCGAAAAACTTGAGCCACCATCTGCCGATACCCGTACAGCAGCGTACCCTCCCCCCGACACCGTGGTGACAGAACCGGTTACCGCAGGAGATACGCACGTTGCCGTGCTGTCAGACTCCACAGTAGCGGCGACTTCCAAAACCAGGGTTCGGGCGGGATTGCCGCTTGGGCTTACGTCGTCGTTCAAGCCCGAAACACCGGCATCCTCCATTTCGAAGCGGCATATTAACGAAGCTTGTCGCACCGACTCTATCATGCCCGGGTCGAAATTTTCGCCAATAACGGTTATCGTAGAGCCTCCAGTTGAAGGGCCCAGGTCCGGCGCTATCCCCACAAGTGTCGGCCGAGCGACGTACGTGAACGTGACAGATGGCGGGCCTTCCCGGCTAAAGTCTACGCCGTTCGCGGTAACGGCAACATTCGGGGCGCCTCCTGTGGCCGATGACATGGGGGGGATAAGGCAGCGAACCTCCGACGGCGACACAAACACCGCGGCTGTCGGCAGGGTCCCGAACCGGCAGGCCAAACCCGTGCCCTCGCGAAAGTGAGCTCCGCGTGCCGTTAGGTACGGCGTCATGCGATCCTCGCTTCTTCCGTCGCCGCCACTGTTGACATCAGGCGGGCCACTGATCGGCGAGATGAAGGAAACCACCGGAACGTCAGTGTACTCGAATGCCACTTGGATGTCCGTAGATTGTTGCCCACCAGTGTAGTGCCGCCCGTTTAACGTCACAAGGAACGGGACAAAGTGGAGCGCTTCGTCTTCGTTCCCGACTCCAACGCCCCCGATGACGGCTGCCGGGGAAGTGCACACCACCTCGGATGCCGACAACACTTTACCCGGGGTTTCCACTCCGCCGAACGAGCAGCCGACGCCACCCACAAGGTCTGCGAAACCGATCCCCGTTGCGACAACGCGAGTGCCTCCCTCCATGGACCCGAAGGCCGGGACTACGCCGAGGAGCGTAGGCGGCGTGTAGAACGTGAACCGCAGCCTGTTGCTGGCGAACCCCACTGCGCTGACTACGTGCAAGGAGGCCGGGCCGGTGATGGGGAACCCGCTGGTCTCGTTGATGGCGGCCGGGGGTATGAGGCACTCGAGGAGGCCTGGGGCGGCATGTTTCGCTTCGGTGACGCCCGCCGAGTAGTCACCAAAAACGCAGGAGTAGTCGGAAACGCCAAAGCTTGTCCCACGGATCTGCAAATAAACGGTGGTTTTGAAGTAATTGTAACGTAGGAGGAAGCAGTATGTTAAATGATATGCAGAAAGTAGCCATCTGCAATGAACAATTCATGGCCCGGCCGACGATTGCAATACAATTTTTTCGTATTTACCCTACTTCCAAAGACACGAAAGTCTCGCCCAGGCCACAGAGGGTCGGCACGTGCTCACCTCGACGGTCAGTCCCCCGGTTGTCGGAGCAGCAGCCGGCCACACCCCTTCGATAACCGGCATCGTTCCCATCCGAAAGCCGTACGTCAAGTTTTGCCCCGCCCAGCCCCCTTCCCGGCACCCATCTGCCCAGTCCCACCACGCCGCCCGCCCGCCACCACCGCTGGCCTCCGCCGCCATCCACTCTCCCGAATCACAAACTCCGAGCGACAGGACCCCGGAGGCGGACACTGCGCCGTCATCGGCGGTGGTGTGGAGAGTCAAGGCCGAGATGGCTTCGTTAGCGTCATCGAGATCGGCCACGAAGGCCGTCGACGAGTCTCGCAACCCGTCGCCGCGCCCGAGGGCCGCGAAGCTCAGGCCATTTCTGTCCGAGAGTGATACCGTTGGGGCGTGCGGGCCTGTGCCGAAGTCCTCGGTCACGTCGAGGGTTACCCGGAGCGGGGTGCCCTGGCCTTCCCAGGCGTCCACGTCTTGGATCTCGTAGTCGTACAGCGTGATGTCCTGGATTTTATCGGCACACGTTCCCGTAGCATGAAAAGTTGTCGTGTGTTCGGCGCAACCGCTATTAGGTTAGTACCGCAGATGTCGCCGCCCTCGCGAGGTCAGCACAGGAAACGAACCTATAGGGTTGTACTACGAAAGCGAAAGAATACCAACAACAGACCCTACCACGGCGATGCCAAAGTCTCGTCACTTGTCTACTGTAGGAAACTGCGAAAAAGCTTCTTGATGGAACCCACCTTCACCGGCCAGTCCAGATGCGCGGCATTCAAGGACGGCCGAACGCTGAGCGACACAATCGCCTCGTTTTCCGAGACCTCCCCTCCCTTAGCAGCCTCCACACGGTATCCGAACCAGTCGTACGGCTCCCCCTCCGCGCTCCAGTCGACGGCGCTACCACCCCCGTACTCTCCGACTTCCCCCCCCAGCCAAGGGTCGTGTGCCCCCGCGTCCGGCCGATACACGAGCCTTGCACCCACCGGTACAACATCGCCTGCTGAAAGCGCCGCCGCCTCCCCCGCGACACCACCGGTCGATTCGCCCACGGGGGTGGTGGTGGCCACCGACAGGGTCCCGCCGGCCGGGACTCGAGTCAGCACGGCCTGCAGCGGCCAGCGCGCGTGCGCGTCGGTGCCGCGGACCCGGACGGAGAACGGGCGGCCGTCGGAGGACCGCGAGAGAACGCCGACGGGGGCCGTCGAGACGCTCCACGTCGCCGCTGGCGCGTCTGGGCGCCCGGGCAGCTCTTCCCGAGAGAGAGTTTCTTGGAGCATGGCTGGAGCCGCTGCGGCGGCCGCGGGCGTGATCACGCCGAGCCGGGCGATGCCTCCTCGCTGCGGGGAACGCCATGATGCCGAGTCGACGGTCACCGTGCCTCTGCCTTCGTCGAACGTCCAGAGGGAGACTAGACCTGGCTCGGACCCCGTGGTCGGGACGCGTGGGTCACGGGCTCTGTACCCCTCCGCCGAGGACCATATCTACGATATCAACAGGTTGTTAGAAAGGAGGGTTTGGATGCGGGGCTTGTTAGCGAACGTTGACGTTTTGGAATAGGTAACGATCGACATATCATACGAAACCACTCGTGCGTGCGGAGACGATGTGTTTCGTAACGTAGCTTGCGATGGTGCTAACATCGTTACTCAACAGCACGGGTGCGTGCTTAGCCAAAACTCCCGCTCGCTCCTGATGTTCCGTCTTTAACCCGATATACTACGAGATCGCTGCGAATTGGATTTCCCATTTTTGAGAGCAGTGTTCCAGCCTGACGTATGGGTGGGGTTTGCACGTTATGGTGTTTGATACGACGTTAGAGACATGTTTTGTATCCATTTGGTGTGCATTTGTTTTTGGAGACGAAGGCGTGACGGGGGCATGAGCTCCGATACGTGTGTGCGAACCCTTTCTTCCCCTTTTGTATGCACCGAAATTTTTAAGGCCAGTGGGGTGGTGGGCGCTGGTCGTGGTCCTCGCTGGGCTGCCACCGAGTCGCAGTCAACCCCACCAAAAAATTATATTACACCAAGAAGCGAACCTCTCTTCCGCTGGTCGCTTCCGGCGGGGGGGGGGGGGGGGGGGTACTCCCTAAGCATGCGACCTCACCGGCAAAAAGCGTGTGACCGCCAGTCGGTCTTGCTCGGGTTCCTATGGGTCTGGGGCGCTTGTATATCAGCCCCCGGACTCACCAAACGTTGGCGACATTCCTGT